TACTTCTTTTCACTGGCCCTTTCATTCTACCATTGCTATCTTGCCTGTCCACTGCCACTCTTATTTCCTTTATATGGTGAGTGCTAGTGAGCAAACCCTTTTCCTTCTCTTCCTTCTTCCCTACTTGTATTTCCTTCTTGTGCCATATCCATTACTGGACATTGGCTATCATGTTGGCGATCCTGTTTTTATTAGCAGCCGCCCGAAAAAGTGCTGCTGAGTTTTGTCCAAACCAGTCCCTTAGATTTTGAAGCCACAGTGTTCTTCTTCTGCCTGAACATTGTTTGCCTTCAATCTTTCCATGGAGGATTAAATGGAGTATGCCATATTTTTCTGGGTGTCGCATCACATGTCTGAAATATTCTAATTTTTGTTTTTTAATTGTTTTGATGATGTCCCTTGGCTTTCCCAGGTGGCTTATCACCTCCTCATTTCTGACCTACTTCTATAGCAGTAGTTATTGTGGTACATACAAATAATTGCTATGCCTGCCAGTCACATTTGGCTGCAACTCTGTTGACTAATGGCATAGGTACCACAAATACAGCAAATTGAGAGTAAATATCCACATAGGGCAGTGGAACAGTTGGTGGTCCAGGATCCTCATTGACTGATTCTCAGGTTTTTAACTGAGAAAGCTGCTTACTTTTGGAATGTACTGGGAGAATGTACTGAAATGGCTAGTTAGTGCTTCATTTTTATATAGCATGGGTACCATTGAATTATTATACATATTGTCTTCTATTCAGATGAGAGCATTTGGGAAATTCCTGGATTGTGGAATCCAAATTTACCCCCAAAGGTCCAGTTCTAATGGTACAGTTCCAATTCCCAGTCCTGCCAAAGGCACAATAGCACTTTGCCAAAAGGCCACTCAAATCTGACACTGATCCTGTTCAGAAAGCTTTTTGCAAATTTATGCAGCTGTATTTTTCATCATGGATATGTGATTAATGTGATTTAGCCTCTAAAATTCTCTGTCCTCAGCCTATGCAGATAGGATAGAAATGGGGTACAACTGCTCAAAAAGGCCTAGATTTATAACTCTACCTACCCAGTGAATATGGTATCAAATACCAGCAATGCCACATTCAAATGGAAGCGATACAGTTCTTTGGAATGCATGCCCAATCTGGTCAAATTCTTGTCAAATTTGACAGTGCCTAAGGGCATCAAAGTAAATTAGTTTCTCAAATTAAGACTTAAGTGAACTAACCATGATGATCTGGATTTATGCAGCATATTCAACCAGATACCACATTATGATTTAGGAAGCTAAGTAAATGAGGCATATCATACATAGCCATTGGTTCAGGCATGGTTTACTGAAGTGGCTGAATTCTTGTATAAAAAATAATTAATTTAAATTTATAATGGCTGGTTTCAAAATCAGTTTTTTAAAAAAATTACAGTATGGCAAGATGCAAACCCTATAAGAAACCTGATCACCAGTTCACTATTTTATACAGACACACACTATTTTATTTATATCAATTCACTATATTTTTATATACCATATATAGCATTTTCTTTATGGAATTTCCTCCCGAAATCTATGTGTTAAGGATTAAGCAATCAACCCAATCAGTATTTTACCATTAGATAATAACATTGTTTTTATTAGAAAAACCCTTCCTTTCTTCCTCCTCCCTTCCCTCTTTCCACTTTGCTTATATCTCATTGTAAGCTTTCAATTAAGATGCCATTATTTTATGCTATGCTTTGGGGACCATATGGCCAAAGTGTAGGATAGAAATACTTTTAGTCTTCAAGCACTTTCTGTATATCATCTTAGCAATATAACCCCTGCAAGGTTAGCCAGTACAGTTCTAGCCTTTAGTCATTCACACAGATTACTTCTCTGCTATTACAGGACAACTGGGCGTAAAATTGGCATCCGTCATGAAGGAGAATGCTCCCAAAGGTATCTCCAGTTTTTCTTATTGAATGAATCTGCAGTGTATCTACCTAAGATAGGAAAATGCTTATTTTGTTTGGCAGAATACAGCTTTGATCGCAGATTTAAAGATGTACTCATATGCTGTTTCTAAATTTTTATCAGTATTGATCTGAGAGAGAGCTAATTTGGTGTAGTGATTAAGGCACCAAGATAGAAATCAGGAGAGAGGAGAACTAGAAACCTTAGACATGAAGCCAGCTAGATGACTTTGGGCCAGTCATGCTGTCTCTCAGCCTTAGGAAGAAGACAAGGGCACTCCATTTCTGAAATCTTGTCAAGAAAGCTAGAGTATTTCAGGCAGTTGTGAAGAGTTAGACTAATTCAGAGGCCTGCATAAATAAATATTTTTTTAACCATGTTTGAGAAGTCATGTTGATATGAAAAATAAGGGGGGGGGCATGGATAAAAATTAATGGGATGTGGAGCTACTACATAATAGCTCTATTTCTATTGAGATGCTATTACTTTCAAATATCAAGGAATGAAGCATAAATGCAAATGCATTTTTAAAAATTAAAATATTTGCTTTCTTGATAATGAGGACTTCTAATAGTTTTTTATTTTTCTTTCCTCCTTTTAGGAATAGAAGACTAAGTGCTAAGTTGAATGGGCCATGTTTAAAGAATGAAGAGGGTTTTGGAAACAAACTCTTGGTCCAGTTTCTATCTAATTGACAATAAAAAGCTGTTGACTTACAAATTCAAATATCTAGTATTTCTTATTTCTCTGAATAAAAAAAGAATAAAAACCTAAGTGATCAACTGATTTTTCATATTGACACAACTAACATAAATGTGTGCAGGATGAGGGTTAGCAACAAAATGTGACTCTCTACATGAATTCTGTCCTTTATGTACTAGTGTATTATGTTGTGAAGCAAATAATGGAGAAGCTTGCACTGTAATGTCATACATTTAAAAAGTTTGGCTTTATCAGTGTTAGGAACAGGCAGCTATGACAAAAATACATGATCTGGAGACCTATCTTTCAAATTGCCCCAGTGTCAGATATTGGTAGTTCACAAATTGTTTGTTCTTGGCAGTTGGCCTTGTGTCAAATATGTATTATACAGGAGGCCTTAACAATATTATTTTTCATTTGTAACCTTCTCAGATTTTCCTACATATTCCACGCACATAACAAGCACTAGAAGAGAATAGACTGAAGAAAAAATTTGATAGGCTTTTAAAACTTCATGCTTAGATGCTTATCACTCAGGATTCAGAGTTCTCCCATGCCACTGTCTGGGGATGTTGATATATATTATTAGGAGCAAATTGGAACACCTTGCCTTTTTTTCATGTCCTCCAGAACTACCAAAACACATATTTTTTTTTAAAAAAAGTGGTTCTACGATTCTAATTTAAACCAATTCAAAAAGAACAAAAATGTCAAAAGAAAATCATTATTCCTCATGTCAAAAACTAACATTGGAGTCAGACAGACTTCAGGTTATAATGTTTTATAGTATGGAAGCAAAATGGCCTATTTAAGCTTAGATGTCTGACTTCAGACTATGCATATGAATAATGGAAATGTGTTATCGGTGGAGAACGTAACTATACTGTTATGATCTGTATAGATTCACCGTGAAAATAAATCGTCTATTATACTTGGTCCCAAGTTGACAGGGCTTTCGGTTAAAGTTCACTATCTTGAGGTAAATATACTATATTTTACTAATAACTCTGATTTCTGGGCATCTAACCAGTTTTCCCAACTTCCATTTCAGTTCATCAACCATAGCTGAAGAGTTTCACAAGTACAGGTAGTCCTCAACTTACAACAGTTCATTCAGTGATTGTTCGAAGTGACAACGGCAATCAAAAAAGTGACTTATGACCATTTCTCACACTTACGACCATTGCAGGTTCCCTATGGTCACATGACCCAAATTTGGACACTTGGCAACGGACTCAGTCAGGATCCCAGGGTTATGTGATTGCTTTTTGTGACCTTCTGGCAAGCAAAGTCAATGGGGAAGCCAGATTCACTTAGCAACCGTGTTACTAACTTAACTGACTTACAGTGATTCACTTAACAACTCTGACAAGAAAGGTCACTTAACAAATATCTCACTTAGCAACAGAAATTTGGGGCTCAATTGTGATTGTAAGTCAAGGACTACCTGTACATACAACAATGGGGTGAAAAACTTAATAGAGCATTAAAGAACACCAAAAACAGTCAACCAGCTATCAATATCCCTTCTACAAGGGAATTCATACCATTGCTTCTGGAAATCTTGAGAAAAAGCCATGTCTTCATGGCCTTCCAAATATTTGCAGGGTTGCATTTGCTCTAATTTCCAGGATTACGTTGTTCAGAAAAAGTGTAGCAATACCCTGAGAAAGGAGTTACACCCAGAACAATCCCTCCCTTCCAGCTCTTCTTAAGTGGGAAAATCACCTTGAAGTAGTTGCTGCTAGATATCCAGATGTTGTCAGACTCAGGTTGAGCTATATTAGGTTTTAAAGGTGACAACTGGCACCTTGAATTGTACCCAAAAGCTTACTAATAACTAGTGCAGCTCTTGCAGTAGAGGTGTCATTTAGACAAATCAGGTTGTACTCCTAACTACTGAGCTTGGTCTCTTTGTACCTATTGTAGCTTTCAAGTGGTCTTCAGGGTCAACCCCGTATAAAATGCATTGCAGTAAGTCCAACTGAGAGGTCACTAAGGCATAACTAACCATAACAGAGAAGGGTCACCCAATCCAGAACCAGATTGCCTTCTTAGACAGAAATGGCCTACACATGGCTTTGTGAATTAAAATACATTACTCGTTGTAAATTAGCAAATCATTCCTAAAATTACAGGGCAAAGAAGCAATGGCTGATGCTCTAGTCCTGAAATTCAGAGACAGTTCTATTAGCTGTCTTGGGTAAAAGAGCAGCAGTAAAGAGCAGCAATAAAGTATAATGCTCACTATTGGAGTAAGCAATTCCCCTTTTACCTCAGAGTTACTCCTGAATATATCTGAATAAAACTATTTGTTTAAAAAATCAGATGAAAGGCAGAGCAGGCAAGGGATACAATCTATTTTTAAATAATGTCATTTTATTAAGTGTTTATTGCAATTAAGAAATCAATGGAATACATGAGAATACTTTTTTGCATTTTTCATTAGCTTATAAGATAACCTTTACTGTCATTGTTTTCTGTGAACACACTGGCACACATTAAAAATGAAATTCTGATGCCCACTCTCAAAATGTTGAAAATCCACTCAAACTGACAGTACTATCCAGGACAGAATGCTTTAACCAACTTTCTGCTGCAACAATGACACAGCAGTTTCTTACTTGCTGGTTTGTTATTAACTCTAGCTTATGAAACTTATGAAGTGCTTCCATTGACCTGTTTGTTGCACCAGCATATTCTTGATTAGAACTGAGCTTATAGACTTTTTAACCACATGTAATCACACCAGATGTACCTTACTCTATAGCTTATAGAGGACATTAGTAGCTAAAAGCTCAGATTTATCACCAAGATAACAGAATTCAGCAGGCACACCAGTATGATTCTGGATAGATCAATCCATTTTCTAGTGCCTCAACGACTATTCCATTCACTTTGTATTTTTGCCCATTTACTGTGGACACAAAAGCTTCCATTTTTATGCAATCCAAGGCATTCTACAAAGACCACTTTTTTAAGGGAGATTGGGATAAATTTTATTTTCAATCACTGCCTTCCCAAAGAAATTGATTTTTGCACACCATGGTGCCAATAATTAGAGCTGTGACCACTTTCTTGAAAGGGGATAGCTGTCATTTTAGGGTCCAGGGATTCCAAATCAAGGCCTCTTTTGGCAAATTGCACCTGTATATTGTCTTCTACAAATGTAACTGCATTCCTAGCCCACCACCGTCATTATGCCCCCCTCCCCAAAGGAGGAATTAATGGTCTTTAAACTTGGCTTCTCTCTTCTCCACAAAGGCATCCATCCCTTCTTTCCGATCCTCCGTGGCAAAAGTGGAGTGGAACAGCCTCTTTTCCAGCCGGTTGCCCTCGGCTAAGCTGAGCTCGAAGGCGGCGTCGACCGCTTCCTTAGCCATCGCGACCACCAGCTTGGAGTGGCGGGCGATCTTCTCCCCGCAGCTGATGGCTTCGTCCAGCAACTTTTCCACTGGGCAGACTTTACTGACTAGGCCGGCCAGCTTGGCTTCGTGGGCCGAGATCCGCTCCCCGGTCAGGATCATCTCCATGGCCAGCGACTTGCCCACCGCCCGGGTCAGCCGCTGCGTCCCGCCGGCGCCGGGGATGGTGCCCAGCAGGATCTCCGGCTGCCCGAACTGCGCCTTCTCGCCCGCGTAGATGATGTCGCACATCATGGCCAGCTCGCAGCCGCCGCCCAGCGCGTAGCCGTTGACGGCGGCGATGACCGGCTTTCGGATGCTGGCCAGGCGGTTCCAGTGGGCGAGGAAGTTGGAGCCGTAGCACTCCTGGAAAGTCCGGTGCTGCATTTCCTTGATGTCCGCGCCAGCGGCGAAGGCTTTCTCGTTGCCCGTCAGCACGATGGCGCGCACGGTCGGGTCCTGCTCCAGCGCGTCCAGCGCCTGACTCAGCTCCAGCATCAGCTCATCGCAAAGCGCGTTCAGGGCCTTCGGGCGGTTCAGCTGGATCACCGCCACCCTCTGCCCGGCTCCCTTCTTCTCCACCAGCAGGTGCTGGAAGTGCGCTGCTGCCGACGCGCCCAGAAAGCGACGGGACGGCCGAGCAGCCACAGTGGCCGCGGCCAAAGACAGGCAGCGGCGGAGCAGCGCGGTGGCCATGCTGGCGAGAGCAAAAGGACGCGGGGTTTCAGTCCAAGAGGCCCGCAGAAGTACTTCCGGCTCCCGAGCGATGCCGTCCTCCATATGAGGGGAGAGGTTCACAGGGCATTTGCCCCGCTTGCTCTTGATTGGATGCTCTCATGAAAACATATTTGTTGTTGGATGAAAGACGTTATACTAAACCACCATTCATCTTAATAAAAACAAAAAAGGAAAAGCAAGCAAAACGCATAAACCTCCATGTCCAATTCCCTCTGCAGGATTTTTTAAAAATGTTCTGACAATTGTTTCCAGGCTTTAAAATCAAGCATTTAAGCTGAAGCCCCCTACCGAGGTTTAAAGGCTCAAGAGTTAAACGCTATATTAACTTCTTCTGATGCAATGCTAACAGTTTCAGGTAAAAGCAAAAATGATTTAAGATGCAAAGAGCTACAATATCTAATGAGGGGGGAAAAACTGCAACTCTCCTTTAAGACTAGGAGAATCAACAAACATGTGAAAGCTGGGTTTGTCTTTGCTACAATTTTGTGACCAAGATTGAAACTAGTGTAAATGAAAGGAGCCAGTTTAAAGAGCAAAGGCAGAAAAGGAATGAAAACCTCCCAGCGGCAGCTTTTATAAATCTCTTTCCTTCCACACCTAAATCTGGTATAGCGTGCCGGAAGTGAGGGTTGTGGAACCACTTGTCACTCTCTCTCTCTCTCTCTCTCTCTCTCTCTGGTCTCTTTTGGGGAGAAGGGACAAAGTTTACGGAAGTTGTGAGGGACGGACAGGAAGCGGAAGTGTTGTGAGGCAGTGGGGAGGAAGCGTCTCCTGAGCTGGTAGGCGACCGGGGGAGAGGTTGGGAGTTGGTCGGCGCCGGTACTCCGGGGGAGGCCAGTTGACGGTTCGGCAGTCAAGGCTGTTTCTGCCGTTGCTTTCGAGGAGCTCCTACGGGAGACCTGTTTTGGGGGTCAGCGCTGATTTCCGACCTTCCCCCTTTCCGGGCAGGATGGTGATACACCCCAGAGATGGCAACCGAAGGGAGCAGCCTCTCCGAGGATGGATAACGCTCTTAAATGACCAGCCAGGCCCTTTTGCCCGTGTCTTGTTGCCTTGAGCACCGCGGCCTACTTATTACCGGCCTTGAGGAGCTGCCTTCCTGATTTGTTTAGGCTTACACAGCTGTGGTTGAAGGTGGGACTTCGTCTTGTTGATGACTTTCAGACGTGACAAGCAACTCTTTTGTGTCTTCCTCACTCCTGTTGTCTTATTCTTAAGAAGAGAGATGGGTGGGTCAGTTTTATTATAGTTTCCGTTGTTGCCCCCGGAACACCAAATGACACTCTATTTTTATTTCTTCCAATTAAGCTTCACAGAATATTGGAGCTCTTCAAAGGCTTAGGATGACCCACAATACTGGGGCACTCACAATAGAGGAATTATACTTAGCACATATATACCAGTTTTATAGAATTAGTGATAATGATTCCCTCCCCCCCTGTTTAATACAGTAAAGGATTCTCACAAAACAAGTATTCATAATTACATGTTACCAAAATACAGTTACTGGCTTCACATAATCAACTGGAATCCATCTGAGCATAATCTACTTTGTTGTGTGAATTCAGCCAAAATGAAGGGAAAACTAATTAATTTCTTGAATTATGAATTAAAAAAAACACCTGTGGTATATTCTGTAATATAATTGTTGATTCCTTTGACTAATGCATTTCTTTACTCCGTTGAGTCTTTGTTAGACTGTGTGGTTCAAACACATGCAAAGTTTTGCATACTGATGAACTTGATTTAATTTTTAAATTATAGGCTACTTGTATTTAATTTTTAAATTATAGGCTACTTCATGAAAGGCATGGCATGTTATCTGAATTGCATAATGTACAGTTGTGGAAGATTGTAAATTGGGAGACTTGTGGGAAATTATATATAGAAAGTTTAATTGGTGACAATTGTTACATAAAGTAGCCACTCGGATTTCTAAAACAATTTTATGGATGTTGACTTAATTATCCTTTGCTAAATTCAGTGAGATTTATTTCTAAGAGTTGGTATATAACTTATAAGAACAAATATATTTTGAAATTTGCTATTCAGTTTTAATCCTTCGTTACTTATGTTAGCAATTCTCACTGAACTCTCTGAAATAAATTGTGATTATGACTGAATATGAATGCATGGTATTATTTATTAAGAACTCAAAGGACTAAGCTAATAAAAAAACACATTTCCTTTGGTTTTGAATAAATAGAATGCTAATTGTAATTCTTCACTAACTCTAATGATTGTTCACAAGAGATGTGACTTGGGTTTCATTTACAAACTGGTTTGTCCTAATCAGAAAGTGTCTTCCATTCTTATATCCAAATGGAAGATACTGTGCATAGTGGAGAGTATAACACATCTTTCCAGAAGGCTGCTTTTATTTTTTGCATTGTGTTTAAGCTTTGTGCAGATATAAGTCTTACATAGACTTTATATATGTTAATCTGAGTTGCCATTCAAATTGTTCACTTATTTTAATTTTCTCTTTCAGTTTTACTGTTCTTAGAAGTGCAGTACCCTATAATCTGCAAGTACAATCAAAATGGGGCCTAGACGGAAAAATGTGAAAGTGTATTCCACAAACCGGGAAAGCCCTGTATGCATGAAAGCTGCTGAGCTGAAAGACTACATGAACCAGCTTTCACATGAAGTGCTTTGCCATATCTTTAGGTAAGAAAATAGTTTTTGTTTCGGTTTTAATATCTCCTATCATTCATTTTAAAGGTCAGTGATAACAAGCATCTGCCTAATGTTGACATTTAACTGCTTCCATTTAGAGCAGGCATGTCAAACTCGCAAAGTCATGTGATGTCGCGCGATGTATCTCAACTTTTCCCCCATTGCCGGCAATGGGGTGGGTGCGGTTTCGGCGTGATGCATCCGGCCCGTGGGCCAGCAGTTTGACATGCCTGGTTTAGAGGTTTGGGTAACATGCATGCCAATACATCAATTATTAATTTGTGAAACACTTTGTGTTGCAGAAAAAAAAGTATAATCATTCACACATTGCCTAGTGCCACTTGTTTAGGAGCAAGTAACCATTTTTACTATATCCAAAGGCCCTCTGAAAAAGCCAGCTTTTAACCGCTTTCCAAAAGTAGAGCCTGACCTTATCTTTGGGATTGTGCTGTTCCAGACAAGGAGGCCTTTTTAATTGTATTAAAAGTTTCATTTAAAAAAAAAAGAGAGATTAACTCTTGGTGTAGTAATGATTTAACATTGCTGAATATGAAATAAAAAATTTTGCACTACAGAGAGAAGGGTTCTTTTCTCTTTACTTTGGATGACTATAAGATACAGGACTCATTTATCAAATGTCCTCTATAGTAACTTACATTATTGTTTTTTCATTCCTGAGAAATATGTGCTTGGTTCCCAGCTATTCTAAAAATTCAGTCTGGAAATTTTGAAGTCATGGTGCCATGATTGAATGGCAATTGTTACACATGTGATGCTTTGTCTTTTTAAAATTTTAGCATGTGATTCTCCTAAAGGAACAATTGTTACTAGATGATTGAAAAAGAATAAGTAAATCATGGCCTGTTTTATTACAGTTCTGTTTTCATTTACTGTCGAATTTATTTCTTGCTGTAGTTGTTAGTAGATGTTCTTTAGTATACAAATTGCTCTTTAGTATAATAGTACAGGAAAGAAACCATCCAACAATTAATCCCATTTTATTCCCTTCTTGAAGGTATCTTCCCCTGCAGGATATCATGTGCATGGAATGCCTCTCCCGGAAGTTAAAGGAAGCTGTCATCTTGTATCTAAGAGTAGTTAAAGTTGTGGATCTCTGCGCAGGTCGCTGGTGGGAGTACATGCCCACTGGTAAGTGGTACTATGAATCATGACAACTTTGATTACATTTTCTGCTTAGCTATAGCATTTAAAATAACAGAGAATTTCCACAAATGTTATGTGTATATAGGAAAGCTTCCCAGAATAATAAAGAGATGGCAGGAACTCTTAGTAACATGCACATATTTTAAGAGAAAGTAACTTTTGATTAGGCAATCAGCTAGGCAGAAGTAATGGAATAGGAATCTTCTGAGTCAATTTAATCTTTATCCTAAATCACTGGGGATTTATTCTAGATTGCTATGGAAAATGTCTGAAATTGCCTAATATTTTGCAGGTATTCTAAATGGTCAGCAAAACTTGGAAGAAGTTACAGATTCAGAAAGGGCAAGTTTAGTACTTCCCTTTAAAACGGGGAATAAGGAAGCCTTGTAGAACAATGCCCAATGACTTTCTTCCTTTTGAAGGAAAATTTAAAATTGGGAGTATGTGAATAATAACATAATGTACTTATCACACAAACACAAAATCCAAGATCTGTGATAAAAAAACTAGTCAAACTAGTCATCATGATCAATTATAACATAGATCTATGACACCACTTAACAAATTATATTTTGGGGAATTAAATAGTTATTTGATTAAATATATAACCCCGTCCGTTTGTAACTATTATTTCAATTATGTTTTACCTTCTTGCATATAGTTTAGTTTTTCCTCAGTAGTAGTACCATCTTTCTGCAGTGTTGTCTTTGAATTCTAAAATTACAAAATATTATGCCAAAATAGAAATGGTGGTGTGTATATATGATAAAATAAAGACAAGTTACTTGCCTTTGTGCATCTAGATAACCAATTTTTAATAAAAAGTGCAATATGGATTTTTTGTACAGGATTCACAGATTCCAGCTTCCTAACCTTGCTGAAGAAAATGCCAGACATTGAGCAGCTGTATGGCCTTCATCCCAGGCACCTTGACAGACGTAGGGTTCGGGGTTATGAAGCCTTCAGCATTCCTGGGGTGCTAGAAGCTTTGCAGGCGTGCCCAAATCTCTTGGTATGTGTTCAAAACATAAATTTGTAATTTCATTTGACAGCTGTCATTCTGGATAAGAATTAACTGGAGACAGTTTGGAAGGACAGATGGGTTTGTATTTTATGGATCAAATTCAATTCCATGCCCTTGAATCTGGGTTTCATTATCACATCTGAAACAACTGTAATTAAAAAACTCACATGGAGTTTTCTGTGTTAATTAAATCTGGAAGTTTGCCCTTAAAGCCCAATCTGTTATTATAAGAAGTGAACAGTCTATGAATGAAACATAGCATAGAAAGAACAGTGTATTACATAAAATCACATGATATATATACACTAATTATGTTTGCTTTCTATATAGTTTATTTGCAGAGTGAGGAAAAATAATTTAGGGATGGAGTTGCAAAAATTGGCAAGTTTAGTGTTGTAACTAGCTATGATGTATCAACATATGGTTTGTCAAAATAGTCCTGAGGATACAGTTTTATATAACAGTCTGAAGAGTTGTTTTATGGATACTTAAATGTTGATAATTGTATTGGTTGCTATGCTATGGTTTCTTAGAAAGACAAGGTATAAATCTTAGCAAGGAGATTTAGATCTGCTGTTTTTAATGCATATATGATATGCAACTAATGTACAATTAATAATTGTCAGTGAAGTTGGCTTAATATTAATACAGAATTGTATGTAAGTTGGCAACAATGTTCAGGTAATATTAATAAGAAAAATATTAATAATGATAGTAGTAAAGTTGGAAGGGACCTTGGAGGTCATCTAGTCCAACCCCCTGCTCAGGCAGGAAACCCTACACCATTTCGGACAAATGGCTGACCAGTCTCTTCTTAAAAACTTCCAGTTTTGGAGCATTTACTGCTTCTGGAGGCAGGTTGTTCCACTGATTAATTGTTCTCACTGTCAGGAAGTTTTTCCTTAGTTCTACGTTGCTTCTCTCCTTGATTAGTTTCCACCCGTTGCTTCTTGTCCTGCCTTCAGGTGCTTTGGAAAATATCTTGATTCCCTCTTCTTTATGGCAGCCCCTGAGATATTGGAATATTGCTATCATGTCCCCCCTTGTCCTTCTCTTGTTTTTGCTATGATGATGCTTGACTATTCATTCTGGATTTTTTTTCCCATACTACTTAGGGTGTTGAGACTTCCCATTTGGAACTAGTAGAAGCCATTTGGACATACATGCCCCAAGTTCACATCCTAGGGAAGTTTCGTAATCGTAATGGTGCCTTCCCAATTCCACCTGAAAATAAATTGAAAATACCAATAGGAGCTAAAATTCAAACTTTGCACTTAGTAGGTAAGAATTATACATTTGTGATATTAAAGCAGCTGAACATTTTGAAAAGCTATGAAATCAAAACATATTGTGAATAGAGTTGCTATTTTTTGCAATAGTAGGATAGTTGCTATTTATATTAATAGATGAAACAAATATATTCTTTCAACACTGTAAAATACATGCTCACTATCAACACTGGATTACTGGATTAATACTACAGGTAGTCCACAATTTACAATAGTTCATTTAACAACAGTTCAAAATCTATGATGACCTCGGAAAAAGCCACTTAATGGCCCTGGTAAAAATGGTCATAAAACTGGATGTGGTGACATGATGACTCGCTTAATGACTGCACCATTTAATGACTGAAGTTCCGTTCCCAGTTGCCATAAGTTGAGAACTACCTGTAGCCTGACACATCAAACACATGGTTTGCCATTTACATTTGCAGTGTTTCTCTGTTAAATGCCTGGTTTTGACTACAACTTGCTGCTCTGTGTATTTTTTTTTAGGAGTTAATGTCCCTGACATTCCTTGTATTCCAATGCTGAGGCATCTGTACCTGAAGTGGGTGAGACTCACCAAACCACAACCTTTTAAGGATTTCCTTTGCATCAGCTTACGCACTTTTGTCATGAGAAATTGTGCAGGTAAAAGAGCAGTCTTGCTGCTTCAAACATTATCTAGGTTAAAATGTGTTACAGTACAATTTCCTAAACATTTCAAGCATTTGGAAAGATGTGGGATTATTGTCCAGATAGTAGTAATGTAATGTCAATGTCAGTCTGTGCTCCAAATCTGATTAATACTGATTCAGTTGTTAAAATTGCTGTTCCTTGTTCACAGTTTGAAAATTGAACTATTTTTTTTTCTGATAAGTTATCTTAGCTGTCTTTTCCTGCAGGACACAAGATTTAATTATGTCATGTGGAGGTAAACAGGGAAATTGTATCCCATATATCGGGAATAATCTGCCATGACTTTGCAGAATTACAGGAATGTAGAGATGTAGATAAAATATCTTTATATCTATGCATTTTCTGCATAGAAAGTAACAGTTTTGTCACATGAATGAAAATGTTTGAAATGTTAATAAAACAAAGTACATGCTAACATTTCTATGCTTTTATTTAGCTGCCTGAATGTGAATTTTGTTTTTTCTTTCTTCTGTAGGACCCACAAACTCATTGAAGTATGTTCCCCTGGTCACTGGCTTAGCTTCTGCTCGAAACTTAGAACATCTAGAATTGGTTCGAGTTCCTTTTCTTGGAGGTCTCATTCAGCATGTTGTAGAAGACAGCTGGAGATCTGGTATGAAAATTCTCTGGAATTAAGGACAATTCTTACTTTTCCATTATTTCTTCATCTTCTCCTTTATAGAAATGAATATTGCTAATATATTCAGAAATAAGAGTTGCTTTTAATATAAAAAAAGATACTAGGTACATCTGAATATACAGAATTCTTATATTTGAAATTTAAGAAGTTAATACTTCCCTTGGGTTGCTTAAGGGGTAAAATATTCTCCAGCATGTAGGGAATGTAGAATCCACGAATGGGTTGTTATAGTCTTCTAGCCCAATCAGACCAAACAATCAAAGTTGCGACGCTTCTACAGGGTCTAACCATGCCCCAATTTCGTTTGGTCTCAGCCCTGAAGAGACGTGGATATTTGGCTCCAAAAGTTAGATTAGTCAGGTATTTTATTTCCATTCGTGGATTCTTCAACCCTTTCCTTTGGGGGAGGGGGAGATAGTTCAGTTCTGGGCTCAGAGCTGCATTAGTTTTCTCCTTTTTGTTCCTTTTTTCCCTGCCAATTTAAATTCCCTCATAGGCAAGGCCTTTACCGGCAGCCAGCTGATCGTCGCGATCGCTGCTTTACACGAAGTGCGGCGATCCCTTCCCCCCACCATCACTCTCAAACACCTTTATTGTTGTTTTTTTCTTTTCTGCCTACTTCTTCCCTTAGAGGAACTGGGTTCCTTTTTTCTCTTAGAGATCCTTACGGTCACCATTTTTACTCCTACACGTGATCCCTTACTCTTCTCAGCGTTAATCGCTTATAGTTTAGGGGGTGCCTTTCTCGGATCCCTTTTGCAAGTTCTATTGTTAGAGAAAGTTTGGGGTTTTTTTGTTTTTTTTTACTCCCAGGACTCTCAGGCTAGTGTGGATCGTCGTGGCTGCCATTTTGAGCCTCCGTACGATCGCATTCAGTTAATAGCTCCATTATCTGATCTCAGTTCCTGTGAGCCCACCTTAATTGCAATTTTAGAGGAATAACTTCATGTGGGGGGAGCAGGGGTTCCTGTTATCCCCCCTACTAGTCAGATCTTTTTATTCCTTTTGCCTCACTCCTTTTTCTTCCTGGCAAGACGCCATTTTGAACTACCTCATGGCCGATAGGGAGAATAGCTTGACTCATTCATACTCAATCAACCAGCCAAGTTTTCCTACTTGAGTTGCACCCTTTCTTGACTTGTAGTATTAGCTGCCATACAGTTACTTTCTGTCCCTCTCAAATATCTAGTGTCACAGATTGGACTGCTGCTTGCCTTGCCTGTTTTCTGCTGTCTGCATCTAGTGGCTGGCAGATACTGTCCTAGCCGCCACTAAGTGAGACACGAGGGTAAAAAAAAGACATATATATATATATATATATATATATATATATATATATATATATATATATATATATATCTGTAGGTCTTTGGTTGTTCGGGTTTTCTCCCACGTAAAATTGGAAGTGTCTTGGCGATGTTTCGACGAAGTCTCATTCGTCATCTTCAGGCTGGTGTTTTCGGCTTTGTGCTTCTAGGAGCAATGTGTGATTGTAGCTGTTTCTTCCTTTTAACTGTTTGGCTTCGCATTCGTGGTCGTGCCTCATCTTCATGGTGGGTGTCAGTTTGCTTCATGTATGGATGAAACATACATACGAAGCCAAACAATAGCAATAAAGCTCACCATCTCACTTCCCCGTGCAACTCAGACTAACCTGAGCACAACAAAGCCCCCACCCAAACAGAACACTCCCCCAACCAACCAGAGCACAGCCAACCCCCCATCCAATCAGAGCATAGCCAACCCCCCCATCTAATCAGAGCACAGCCAACCCCCCATCCAATCAGAACACACCTCCATCCAATCAGAACACATCCAAGCTCTCATCCAATCAGTTCATACCCCCACTGGCAGTTAAAAGGAAGAAACAGCTACGATCACACATTGATCCTAGAAGCACGAAGCTGAAAACACCAGCCTGAAGATGACGAATGAGGCTTCGTCAAAACGTTGCCAAGACACTTCAAATTTGACACCGGAGAAACCCGAATAACCAAAGACCTACATACAAACACCCGCGAAAATCTCAGAAAACAAATATATATTTCTATATACATATATAGATTCATCCTTCATTGGCATTTGATATATTATCGGCCAAATTGTCACAGTATCACAGTGGGCCTGAAAAATTGTAGGGGAGGAAGGACAGCCCCCAAAGTAAAGCGCAGCTTATATCGCGCAGTGTGACTCCATGGTCGGACCTCACAGACCCTCGTGTAGGCCTGTACCACTCAGGTGGGCCATAGCCTTTTTCTCCTGCAGACCAGGACCAATCCAGGGATCTCCTGGTGAAAACCTGTTTCCTGTTGCTTGTTTCAATATGGGAGATAACACCGTTTCCCAGGCTTCCACCTCCAGTGGAAACGCAAAACACAAGTCACCCAGTCAAGATGCGCCAGAAAAGGTCAAGGCCAAGATCAAACGGACCTCTAAGCCGGCTGACAAGCAAGCAGATAGCAGACACCAGGCACTGGAACAACAATTTTCTAAGGCCCAGCAACGGGCGGCAGAGACACAACCTGTCTCTGTTTCTTCTCGTGCGTCCACATCAGGGGACCATCATTCCTCCCCTTTTCTACGGGCTTGGTCCCCCGAGCAAAACATGGACCAGCGTTCTTTGATTGGATACAATCGGGACCATCTGTCTATCTTTGATCAAGATCTGAGAATGCAGATGCAAGATTCAATTCCAATCATCAACCTGGCCCACCTTCGGGCCCCTGAACATCCTTCATTCACTGACCAGCTCCAGGCCATGATCTCACAGGCGGTGGCTCAGGCAATGGCATCCTCAGGGAGGGCCATTCCGACCCCAGGACCGTCAAACCTCCCTACGTCCATGGAAACTACGCATCCAAGGGAGTATGTGATCTCAGATCACAGTTCTCCACCTCAATCTGAAGGGAGCGAGGTATCGGAATATTCCGCGCAGATTCCCAAAGAAGCCATGTGGTCAGACGAGGAAGACATTCAGGCGGAGCCCACTCCTATGGTAGCGGTGTTTAACCCAAATTCCTTCCTTTCTCTCTTGCACAAGGCTTATGTCACTGGAAAGATTGAACTGGTGAAACCACAAACGGCTGATCAGGACTCTGGACAGAGTTCTGACCTACTGTTTCTGGAACCGGTCACAAGAAACCTACAGATACCTTCTCCCCCCATGTTTTTAAAATCCATTCAGGATCAATGGGGATCTCCTGGAACTTTCTCTGCTCTTGGGGGATCGTAAACTCTTGGATATGGTCCCTTCCCTCAATGATGTCCTTGAAGTTCTGGGAGTAGACGAGGCTCTCGCTCCCATACTGTCAGATACCAAAATTCCAGGAGATATGTCGGAGGCCCTTAAGGCCGACGACAAGAAATTAGAGATCTCCCTCCGTAGGACTCATCAAGCATCGGCATGGGCCATAAGAGCCTCAACATCTAACTCCTTCTTCGCCAGAATCTCTCTAATCTGGCTCCGGGAATTACAGGCTAGGATATCCCCTGACGAGGTAAGGGTACATCAGAATGTCACCAAGTTGAGGGCCGCACTGGAATACATGGTGGATGTGTCTCTGCAATCGGCCAAATATTCGGCTCGAGCCATAGCTTCCAACGTGGCAGCACGTCGGTTGTTCTGGCTTAAGAATTGGAAGGCCGACACCAGGCACAAATGGAGAATGGCAGCGGCACCATATCAAAAGGGTCACCTTTTTGGTGAGGCTCTTACTCCTTACCTGATTGAAAACAAAGAAAAGATGAAAGTACTATCTCACTTTGTCAAAAAGACGGGCAGACATTTTTCACCATACAATAGGTGTCCGTCATTTAAGTCTGATTCAGACCGAACGTCCTGGAGCGGGTATCGGCCCTTTCAAGCGGGGCCGGACCACTCCTCGGACCGGTCCAGCTACAGAGAGAAGCCAAAGCCACAATTCCAGGCTAAGCGGCCCTGTCATGGCAGAGGAGGTTGTCCTTTCCGAAAGTCAAAGTGACTTGAGACGGATTCCCCCCGTAGGTGGAAGACTGGCACTTTATTTCCACAAATGGGAAAGCACCACCACGGATATCTGGGTTCTCACCACCATCAGAGACGGTCTGTCTCTGAAGTTTCTAACCCTCTCCCCGGCGATTCATTACCTGCCCCCTATCACAAAATCCCGTGAAACAAGGTCTCATGAAGGAGGCCATTCATCATCTGTTAGGCATAGAGGCAATAGAGCGGGTACCCCCAGATCAATGGGGACTAGGTTTTTACTCCATCCTGTTCGTGGTACCAAAAGCCTTGGGAGGATGGAGGGTGATCCTAGATCTCAAGGCCCTAAATTTGTTCCTAGTGTATCACAAATTCAAGATGCAAACTCTTCATTCCATTCTAGGCAGCATCCGGCCGGGGGATTTTCTCACATCCATAGATCTGCAAGAAGCTTACCTGCACATTCCCATGCATCCAAGTCACAGACGGTTTCTCAGATTCAGGTATTCCAACCATCACTATCAGTACAAGGCCTTACCATTCGGCCTATCATGTGCTCCAAGGGTTTTCACCAAAATCCTGGCTGTCCTCGCCACCCAGCTCAGGTTAGTACCAGTCTGCGTTCAGTGCTACTTGGACGATATCCTCATCCAGTCGTCCTCGGCACTGAACGCCCGATCAGACGTGGCACTGACGATCAGGACGCTCCAGGATCATGGATTTATGATCAACTTTCAAAAGAGCCATTTGATCCCAACAAACCATTTACTACACTTGGGTGCAGTAATAGATGCCAACCAGTGCCAAGTGTTCCTGTGTCAAGAGCGTCAGGTCAGTATACGCACCATGGTCACCAAAGTGCGCAAGGAAAAATGAGTGGCCCTACTTCTGATTTCACAGTTCTTAGGGAAACTGATCTCATGTATTGCCATAGTGCCTTGGGTCAGGCTTCACACGAGACAACTACAGTGGTTTCTACTCCCATACCAGAAACGAGGTGTAGCCTGTTTTCCACAGAGGGTGCGAGTCCCAGCACAGACACGTCCCTTACCTGGTGGTTGTCCCCGGCATTGTCCAAGGGGTCCCTGTTCTGAGAACCGACTCGAGTAACCTTGACCACAGATGCCAGTCTGTTTGGATGGGGGGCACATTTACATCTTCAATTCGCCCAGGGACGGTGGTCTCAATGGGATCTCAAAAAAAGCATCAGTTGGTTAGAACTCAGAGCCACACACCTGGCACTTCGCCATTTCCACAGGAAGGTGGCAGGCCGCCAAGTGTTGGTTCTGATGGACGTGGCGGCAAAGGCCCATGTCAACAGAGACAGGGTGGCACTCGATCGCGGACCTTAATGTCCAAAGCCCAATGTCGGGGGTCATGGGCGGAACGGAATCTGTTGTCCCTAAAGGCGAAACACATATCAAGGGTGGAGAACTGCCAGGCAGATTTTCTGAGTCGATCTGCGATAGATCATTCGGAGTGGCGCCTGCATCCCTGTCTCTTCTGGGAGATTACTCACCATTTCAGTCGGCCCGACATCGACCTGTTTGCATCCCCGGCGAACACCCAGCTTCCTCGGTTTCTCTCTTGGGACCTATCTCAAGGTTCGGAGGGAGCAGACCCCCTCCGCAGTCCTTGGCCGGCGGGCCCTCTATATGCATTCCTACCTCTTCCACTGATCCCGGCCGTCATCAGGAAGCTGTTACAGGAATGAGCGGAGCTAATCTTTGTGGCCCCGTACTGGCCAAGGCGTCCATGGTTCACGGATCTCGTGAACCTCGCCATAGCTCCCCCTTGGCATATCCCTCCAGAGAGGATAATTTTAACGCAAGGGGCCATAGGGCACCCGGATCCGCAGTGGCTACAACTTGCCGTCTGGCATCTGAATGCCAGTTCCTGATGCGCGATCTTACTCTTCAAGAGTGATATCTATAATCCAAGCTTCCAGATGGCCGGCGACGAACCAAATTTATAATGCCACTTGGAAGAACTTCTGTGACTGGTGTACCCGTAAGGGTTTGTCCATATCTTCCATCACTATTCCAGTGATTCTTGAATACCTCTTGGATGGAGTGGATAAGGGTTTTGCGCCCAACATCTTGCATCAGCAGGTGACTGCTCTTTCTACGATGTTCACCTGTGCCAACTCCTCTCCATTGTCCCATCATCCCAGGGTTTGGTCCTTTATGAAAGGAGTCTCCAACACCAGACCTCCAGTAGTACACAGGTATCCCTCTTGGGAACTACCTCGAGTTCTACACGCACTCACAAGATCTCCCTTTGAACCTATCAGGTCTTGTCGCCTTCACATTTTGTCCCATAAGGTGGCTTTCCTAATGGCTATCACGTCAGCAAGGCGAGTGTCAGAGCTGGCCGCTCTTTCAGTTAGGGAAGACCTGTGTACTTTCCACCAGGACAGAGTGGCAATGAGGTTAGATCCCTCTTTCATTCCCAAGGTGAATACACTGTTTCACCGGACCCAGGAAATTGTATTAACAAACGTTTGCCCTAATCCTTCTCACGCACTAGAGAAGCAGTGGCATTTCCTAGACGTACGTAGGGCACTAGGTCATTACATTAAGAGGACAGCTCCTTTTCGCAAATCGGAGGCATTATTTGTCTCTTTCCACACAGCTTCCAAGGGTCATAAGGTTTCCTCCTCTACTATAGCCAGGTGGATCAAGGCCTGTACCACTCAATCTTACCAGGCTTACTCTTTACCTGTCCCAAGTCGATTGACAGCGCATTCTACTTGTAGCGCTTCCACATCAGCAGCGTGGCAAGCTCAGGCGTCCATAGAGGACATCTGTAAGGCAGCTACGTGGTCATCCCCTTCACCATTCATTCGACACTACAAGCTCGACAAGTTTGCTTCTGCAGAGGCCACTTTTGGCTGTCGGGTTTTACAACAAGTGGTCCATTTCGGCGCCAACACTTAACCAACCTGCTTCCCACCCGTGGGATCATTGGGGCTTTGGTATGTCCCATTCGTGGATTCTACATTCCCTACATGCTGGAGAAGGGGCGTTGTCTTACCTGAACGCCTTTTCTCAGCATGAGGAATGTAGAATCCACCCCCTCCCTGATTATTATTTGCAGTTAGGTTAGTGTCAGCAATCCGGGAGCCATCACGTCACACAATCATTAGCTTCACCCTTTTGAAACTGGGGCATGGTCAGACCCTGTAGGGGCGTGGCAACTTTGATTGTTTGGTCTGATTGGCTAGAAAACTATAACAACCCATTCATGGATTCTACATTCCTCATGCTGAGAAAAGGCGTTCCGGTAAGACAATGCCCCTTCTCTTGGTGAACATATATTTGTGTGGAGTTCAGATTTGGCTTCTGTTCCTGAATTTGCTAATTGATGAAATAGAGAAAGTTCGCTAACAATAAAGCAACATGTTTATGTTGTTGAAAAGTGTAGCTGTGGGGACTGAGGAGGTTATGGGAAATCAATAGAAATAAGTCCCCCCCCCCAATAAAAAGGTTTTCTAAGTGTGTGTGTGTTCTTTATTCTCCTTAGTCTAGGGGTATGATTTCACTTTGGATTAATCCCATGATCCTGGAATATGAATCAAAATGTTAAATTTGGTTAATATATTAGAAAAAAAGTTTCAGACTGGTATGCAGAGATTGCAGTGAAGGATGTGTGCTGTGATTGACATACTGGGGGATTCTTATCTGTTAAGTAATAGTAGTCATACACTATGCTGAAATAGTAATAAAAGAAGTTTGGGTTTTCAATTTTGCTTCCCACCTTTCTTCTACGATTACTGTTCCTAAAGCACAATGGAAATTACTTTTTTGTTTATTTTTTTGGATTTTCAGGGGGCTTCAGAAATTTGCACACTATAGTTCTAGGCGCTTGTAAGAATGCTTTGGAAGTTGATCTTGGCTACCTCATCATAACTGCTGCACGAAGGTAATTGTCTGTCAGCGGTCTTTTGAATCTATCTGTCAGTAAATTACCATTATCCAGTCTGGGTTGGTCACTGGGACCAGAGGTTTAATCTTCTGAGCTTTTGGAACTCTTGCCGGAGCCCATCCTCAGTGAACCTCTCTACCAGAATGTGTGATCTGGGCTATTCTATCCATAGTATTTATGAGGTGCCTAGTTGTGTGTGGCTTTTTAGTTGTTGATTGGGATGTTGATGGCCGGCTATTAAGTCATCGGCTGTTGTTTCCTTGTGCTGCCAGGTCCTGGCTCTTAAGTACCTGATAGGCTGTAGTAAATCAGCCCTCCTGTTGATGGACAAGAGGTTGTTTCCCAAGCTTCAATCATTACCATAATTACCATTCTGTTTACCATAACCATTTACCAATTACCATTCATGCAGATTAAATGCTGTGTGTTGCTTTTGGGGGGGGGGGCATGGCTTGCTTTCTATTTACTTCATTCATGTAATAAATATCATAATAGATGTTATCAAGAAATAATGTTGAGGTAATAAAAGTGTTCTGCTGTTGCTTTGTTTTGAACAAGGGTTCTAATATCAATGGCCTCAGGTTAACATTTACTCCTACTTTGGTTTTCATTTTTTTTCAGATTGCATGAAGTACGAATTCAGCCTTCCTTAACCAAAGATGGAGTATTCTCTGCACTAAAAATGGCAGAATTGGAATTTCCCCAGTTTGAAACACTACATCTTGGATATGTTGATGAGTTTTTGTTACAGTGTATGAAACCCTTCAATCTTTCTGTTGGTTAACTATCAGCAGCTAGGGTAGATCTGGATTTTATTATTTGCCTAAAAGGAGTACAAATGTTAAGATACATTCTTGTGTAATCTAGAGGCAACCCTAAAGTCTTGGTTGCTCATCAAATGTGCTTGGGACTTAGAGAAGGAACCTTGATTATAATAGTATGCATGCGTGGCCTGGACCTCATTTCATTTCTTGAGATTAGCTGTGAAAACTCTACAACGGGGCGTCAAACTCGCAAGGTCACGTGATGTGTTGCGACATATCGCAACTTTTTTTTCCATTGCTGACAATGGGGTGGACGCGGTTTCGCCATAATACATCTGGCCCGCAGGCCGGCAGTTTGACACCCCTGCTCTGCATCATTGGGAATTTCTCGGGGGGAATTAAACCTTGGTCTGATGAGACCATAGAATGTGATAATGTACATAGGTCTTGTTACAAAAAAATATTGGAAGTTCTCATTTCCCGAAGAAGGATTAATCAAGCATGTGCAGAGGAAATAACCAAAGTTGGTCTTTTTAGCGATAACATATGGTAAAGCAGGCCTGCACAATTTGCAAAGGACCAAGGACCAGATTGATACCTTAAAAATAATCATGGGTCACGAAGGAATAGCTAGCAGGCTAGTTAGCTCTTTGGCAGCTAACAGCACATTGGCACCAGCAAAGCTGACTGTCTATGAAACCTAGAGGCATTAATGTGCCTTTTGAGATGGACATGGATGTGAAAACTAGCTGGCAGCTGAAGGTCCTTCCTACAGGCAGTAACATTTGGTGGCAGTCAGCTGGTTATTTTTCAAAAATGTTTGGCTTTGTGTGGCCTGCAGGCTATACATTGTGCAGGCCTGTGGTAGAGTTTTACACCTAGCTTTATTCCTGTGTGTATGCCAGGAGAGTAAAGAAATAACAAATTTGCTAAAGATTTTTTTCCACATAAACTTCATATCTGCAGCTGTAATGGGATATTGGCGTTTCATCTTACTGATTTTATATATCTCAACTTTGCAGCCCATTGTTCTGTCATATTCTTTAACACCAACAGAATAATTATGCCAAACTTCATTGTTGTTGAGTTTCTTTTAAAAGAGAAAAAAAGTGGGGGCTAGGTGGAATTTAACCTTAGCACAGTTTGCTAAGTTAACTTTTACAGATCAGTCCGTAAATTTGTGACTATTAGAAAACATATTTTTCCTTTGTTTTTGCTATTCTATTTCTAAGACCAAGAGGTGAATAGTTAATATAGCTGTGGCCAGTATTCAGACTGCATAGCTGCATAGCAAAGTTGTGGGAAAAAAAGATTCTTTTTTTCCTCCCTCTGTGTCCAGGTAAAATGATCAATGCAGATCTGGTGAAGTATGGATTAGCTGATGTGGTTGAAAATCCAGGCATTATCACAGACATAGGAATGAAAGCAGTAAACGAAGTCTTCTCTTCAATTAAATATCTTGTCATATACAATTGCCCTCATTTACATAATCCAAATAGCTGGATCACAGGTATTGTACTCACATCTGGTAATGTCCCTCAATAAATTGCATACCCTCTTCTTAAATAAATGGATTATTTTTGGGAATTGTTTTTGTATATATGACAATTTATGTCTGTATGTTTTCATCGTGCAGCCTATATGACTGATCTAAGTGCCATTTCATTTCAATTATATACTGCTGAAAAGAAGTATTACTGTCTATTTTTTACTGAGTGATGAATACTACTGGAACATTAACATTGTTATTCATATTTCTTGTTCTTTTTTTGTAAAAATCTTTTATAATACAAACAAGAAAAATGGAACAATGCAATATAATAAGTTAAAAATTAAAACCATAAAATTACAACTATTAGTTTAAGAGCAAATTAACCATATTTTTTCAGTGGAACCTTGGTCCCTAATGGTTGTAATGAATACTCACGTAATGATTATTTTTATGAGGACTAAGGCATTGCCACTTTATATTGGATATATATTGTAAAATACATAACTGAACAATTTAAAAATGTCGAAGTATTTCCACACAAGTCCTCATAATGGTTCCCTCTTCTACACTAAATTATCTTCAGCTGACTGCAGCCCTATTGTAATCATAAGAAAGGGATCTTCCATAGAACGTAAAGACCAAGTAAGCCTAGGTGTAAGTATTGAAAGAGGCAGCTCTTCAAATAACTTGGTTTTGATTATTTAGGGGATTATAAACTAATAGTATATTGAATATAGCTTAACTGGTATTCAATGCATATGTAAACCATGAGGAGCATTCAAGAGTAGCCTCATATACAGTAAAATGTGTTTTAATAAAATATATCAAATATTTTATTATTAGTCTATATAAACATACTTGCACAGTGAACCCCTGATTACAAAGTTAGGAAGGTGTTAAATGCATTTCTTGAACATTAAATGGAAACCCACTCATGATTCAATGAGTAATATCTACTCAATTCTTGAACAGAGAAAACTTCTATTCATGAAATGAAAGCTGTGCTAATGGAAGGAATTATTTCATTGAAACCTATAGATTTTAAACTCGTCAGTTAAAAAAAAATCTTAATTTTTCAATGTTCCAGCTTTAGGCTTCTGAAATAATTATTAATTTCCAAAGTGCTTGTTTGTTATTTTTCTGTGTTTCACCTGTACCGTAACAAAGGCAATGTATTTTAAGTTTGAGAGGAGTGGGGTTTTTTTTAGTCTTAATAGTATTTATTATTCTGTTTAACTAGCCACCTGTGAAAATGGAGGCTTTCAGAAAAATAGATTCATTAGAATAACTGTGAATACACTTTTGGAATGGTAGAAGAGAAGAAGGAAACCCAAATTGATGTGGTTAAAGAAGAGTAATTATTCAAACTTGGAAAGTGCATTTAGGAAAATACATTGTGATAAACCTATTTGTTTTTTCTGTAGATCATTCAAGATGGACTCGGCTTTTTGATCTCACCCTGGTGAGATGCCATGCAATAAAACTAGACTCTTTTAGCCAGTTTATTGAATTACTACCAAGCCTGGAGTTTATCTCTCTGGACCAGATGTTTCGGGAACCACCCAAGGTGAGCATAAAAAATAACGATCAATCTGAAGTGTGCACCAAATCCCACTATATTAAGCTTCTACTGAGTGCTTTTAAATAAATAAAATTGCATCTGGTTAGTGTATGGAATTAAAATCCTATGCAGGCAATCACCTGCTCACACAAAGGGTAAATCTGAGTTGAGAGCATGAGCATTCCATAAGCTTCATCGTAATTTTCCTGTGTTTTCCCGTATCTTGTTTTTGGGTAGTTTTTCATGCAATAGAAGTGTGGCAATTTGAAAGAAAATGTTCAAAGCAGCAAGGATGGTCGGAATCTGGGAAAAGGACTTGGGTGCACTCCACATCTCAAGTCAGATTAATTCTGCATAATGATAAGACATAAGTGTTGAAAACTAGTTCAGTATTGCAAGTTACAATAGAAGTATTGAGCAAGAGGCTGATTATAAAAATACAGGTAATCCTTGAGGTACAACAGATCATTTAATGACCTCTCAAAGGGACATCAAACCCTCCAAAAGCTATATATGACCCTGTTTCAAAGTTAAGAATTCTACAGAATGAAGAATGACCGGGTGGGTTCTGTAGAATTCTTAACTTTGCAGGGATGCCGCACCACCCCCATTTATCTATTTTCCCTCCCACACACAAACATCCTGCCCTGCCAGGTCCCCCAAGGCATTTGGCCCATCAGATTCCAAGCAGTCCTCTTCAAGGGTCCTCAGAATCCCTCCCTTACTTTCTGCAAAAGATCTGCAAAACTCAGGAGGCTGGGAAGAAGCAGGCCACATGTTGTGGAACCTGAGCCGATACTGGACAAAAGTAGCTTCACTGTCAGCAGAGCCAGCTCAGGTTACAATATTCAGGCTGTTCTGTCCAACATGAGGAGATGTTGGCACATTACGGAGTAACTCGGCAAAGAAGCTTCAAAGAGTATTACTTACTCTCATATTAAGCCAATAATACAAAGATAAAAGAGCAGTGTTTATAAAGCTAAAAGCACCAGTGTTTATACAGCCTATCATCAAGATGGGGTTTACTGCCAGTTCAGAAGTATTTGGTCTTCTCTGGAAAAGAGCATTGAAGTGTCTATGAAGGATCAGAAATGATCCCTTGGTGTTTAAATGTCACAGTTTCCTGTAATCTTACGATCTTTGGTTAATACTGTCCTGGAAACTCTTTTGTCAGTTGCCAGACGGTAATTCCTTTAATGTATTTTAGGGTTGTGCTCGTGTAGGTCTGAGTGCAGGTACAGGAATTGGAGTTTCCTCTGCTTTGGTGAGCAACCAGAATTCCAACAATGAAAATGACAACAATAATAACCACCAAAACAATAATGCCAATATACACCATAATAACCACCAGCAACCAAATGATCAAAATGAAGAGAATGAATTGCGACAGGAGGAGCAGATGGAGGAACAGCAGAATGCAGCAGATGGTAAGGTTTATTAATAATGTTTAATAATATGATTGTCTATATATAGTATATAGGCCACCAACAAGGAGAAAAGTATCGTCCTCCCCTTCCAGGGATGTTTCACATCTTATTTTTTTCTTCACTTTTAACTTACTTCCTATCTTTATGCTCTAATTCTTTGTGCTCTGCTTTTTTTTCTCCATTCAGTCATGCCCAATTTTTGAAGATTGCCTGAACAAGTCTCTACAGTTTTCTTGGCAAGGTTTTGCCTCCTTCCTAGGTCAAGAGAAAGTGACTAGCCCAAGATTACCCAGCTGGTTTTATTCTTAAGCAGAACTAGAACTCACACCTCCCAGTTTCTAGCCTGATGCCTTAACCACTGCATCAAGCTGGCTTTCATGCGTTACTTAACCTGTACAATGTATCAATGTTCATCCTTATGTGTGTTGTGTATGTAAATCCCAAAGTGTCCTAAAAACAATTTATTTCCCCTTTGTTATACAAGTGTGCTTATTGAGCACCATTTGAGCCACCATTTACACAATATGCATTTAGTTGGCATCTGTTGCTATCTGTTACTACCAGTTGCCACTCTGAACTGCAACTGAAATGTTTGCTTTGCAATATTTTTCAATATTTGTGTTTGCTGTGCATGAACTCCTTCAGGCAGTGTTAACCTGCCATGTTTTCTTGGCAAGACTTTCAGAAGTGAAAGTAACTGGCCCGATATCACCCGTGATCACAGTTTCCTGATTTATAGTGCTTTAACCATTGTACTAAACTGATGGTCCTTTTCCTATTCTAACATTTATAAAGTGATTGAAGAGAAGAACAAAGAGAAAAATAAGGGGGGGGAAGCATTTTCCAAACTTGAAGGAGTTCCTCTTTTGAACTAGTATGCTAAAAGATGCCAATGAACAAACAAACCAATTCAAAGAAACTAGAACAAAGATGGAAAGAGTATATTGCAATTCTGTACATTAGGGTTATCAGTATCCAGGATACTTTAGAATATTTTCCTTACTTACAGGAGTCTTTAATATTAGAAGATGGTTAGAGCAGCACTCTAATTATTACCAGGTTGATAATAGGTATGGATTTAGTTACAACAACAAGTTCAATGTTGAAACATTTGAAAGGCCAGACTAGGGACACATCATCCTGGAAGAGGTCTATTTGGGTGATTACTGAAACTTGATACTGACTTGATGTCACATAATCAGTCATACAGAATAATAGCTATTAATATTCCCTATTGTATCTCTTAAAGAGTGAAGAATGTATCAACCTGATCTATCACCCATAATGTTCTAAAATTATCCCTTTCGTGTTGCATCGGTGTTTGTTCTTATTTTTGACAAGTATGGTTTTTACCATTGAAATAACTCTTAATTCAGACTTTATTTTTGCTTGGTAGGGGTAATATAACTTAATATTGCCTTTAGTTTACTGTAGAATTTGTAGAATTATAGGGTTTTTTAAATCGTAAGCATTCTTATCTTTTAGTTTGAAAGCTATGTTTGCTCTCTCAGTACAACATGGAAAGCCTCCATCAAATTTTAAAAGTTAAAAGTGGACCATTAGTTATTTTTCCAGACTAAGAGTGTTGCTGTTCCCTCTGGAAGATTTCCTACAATCATAGTTCAGCTGTACAAGGAACAGCATTTACCAGCTCATGAATAGAGATGTTCTTGTTTTTATCTGGATCATTCTTATTTGTTTTTACAGCACTGAATGAGATAGAGGAGGTGGCACAGGAAGATGGAGTGGCTTTGGTAGAGAGCCACAGTGAAGCAATTGCAACTAATCAAGCACTTCTTCCCATGGAAATTGATGAAGAACAAGCAGGTAATTTTCATGCCCACATCCTTCTCTTATTGTTTCACTAGTTGCATGCATATAGGTTTATTGCAATTAAGGTTCACCACGATAGCATTACTATTAGAATAAATTGTACAGTTTAAAGTTACATAGTTTAAAGTTAAACACTTGATATTGACATTAGTTGCTTTCAAATATTAAATCAATTTTCTGTACAGAAATTTGATTTTTGTACAAAAATTTTCTATACAGTAATTTTTAGATTACTTTGAAAATAGATCATTGATTGAATTGATTAAGTGCCATCAAGTTATTTTTGACTCCTAATGATTACATAGATTTTCCTATATTGCTGATGTGAAGGTTGAGATATATTGCTAAAACATAAGTTTATTTATATTAAATTGCATTATACATAATATACTAAGTTAATAGTTCTAGCAAGATACGAACATTGGATTTCAAGTTTGCACTGCTGCCTTGTTCTACCACATTATACCACATTAATCTTGTTCTGACTGCCAAAACATTTACTAGTTTACTATTCAATTGAGATACAATTATGCATCTCTCTCTTTTTTTTTTTTTTTTAGGATTAGTGTTGTGCAGAGATACCTTACAAATGTAGTTTCCTGGCCAAGAAAACATTGCTTACAACCAACAAGAAGGCTTTTAGTAACCTCTAGTTGTCATTGTGATATCTTATAGTTTTCGTTTTATCCACTTTTTTGGTATATTTATGTGACAGAATACATTTTCATCATTTTACAAATATATAGCTGGATTAATCTATTTGCATTGTATGGTACTAATTGATTGTGGCAGGAAGGAACAGAAGATTTGGAGAACATCAAAAAACAAAACCTAATTTGCCTAATCATGTGAAGGACTCAGATTAGATAGAGATTAGAATCATATATGCAATGCGATCTCTCTCTAGCCTCCACTTGGGTGGTCTGAAGGATTACTACTCTGAATATCAACAGGGCCTGAGGAAAGCAAGGAAGCCAATCACACCAATAGTTTTGTTTGCATTCATATGAATATGCACATAGTTCTCTTCAGACCTCCCACCTGAATGTTTGAAAGCAGTGGTAAATCTGCTTTTTTTAAAGACCTCAATATGTCCAGATGAATGTCTAAAGGAGAGTTGTGAAGCATTCCAACTTGATACAAAACAGAGTACACACTGTGTTTTGTTTTGTTTTTATTCCTCTCTATGATGTTTGAGGGGAACTTGAAGAAGAGAAAAACAGACATATGAACTGCAGAAACTCCTTTGGGTAGGTATTCCAAACCATAATGCAAATCCCAGCTAGTTTAGACACATACTAGAATTACAAGTTCAATCAAGGTGAGTCATGACTTAAGGAACAAGAATAATCGATTATTGCTGTTTTCATCTTTTTCAGGACCTAGTGGTCTTCAGCCTAGTGTAAACCTAGCACCTATTACAGTACATGATTCAGACAGTGAAGATGAAGATGAAAACATGGCAAGCTCAAGATCCTGTATCACAAACAGCATTGCACAAAGTTACTCAGATGGAGAGGAAAGAGTTAGAGATCCAGTGGAAATCCAGGAACCCTTAGGTGCGAGTTTTAATTTCCTTGTGTATGCAGAATATGTTGTATTCTGTGTTACAAAATGGATCTGTGTAGTGCTTCTTATTCTGTTGAGAAGAGAAATTTTGCAATACCAAAACATTTGGAAAACTAAATGCACCAGTATAGATTAGGTAGCACTTGGCTCAACAATAACTGTGAGAGGGATCTAGGAATCCTAGTGGACAATCACGTAACTATGAGATAACAGTATGCTGCAGCTCCCAAAGAAAGCCAGTGCAGTCCTAGGCTGCATCAACAGAAGGATAGTATAAAGGTCATGTGAAGTGTTAGTACTGCTTTATACTGCAATGGTAAGAGCAGCAGTACCAGGTTAGTACTGCTTTATACTGCAATGGTAAGACCAAGTGCATCCAGTTTTGGTCACCACGATACAGAAAAGATGTTGAGATTCTAGAAAGAGTGCAAAGAAGAACAACAAAGATGATTAGGGGACTGCAAACTAAAACATACAATGAATAGTTGTGAGAACTGGGTATGTCTGATATCAACGCTGCTAACATCGGATGTTCTTGCTTTGACAGTATATGAAGATGCAGCCAATTTCCCTTTAACTTGTGTGTTACTTTTAGAGTTAGAATTAGATGATACTGGGGGGAGGGGAGGAGGAAGAATGTGTATGGGAATTAGTTAGACATAACAACATCATAGTAGAGTGCTTTTTTAAGGTTGTTTCAAATGAGAGATGATAAGAAATGGGTAGAACTGGAGGGAAGGTCTGCATTTCAGCTAATTGGAGAATGTGATTTATGACAGTTAATTAGAGGAGGGAATTGTGCTTTGATACTATGTGTTTAGGGGAAGAGAATTCAGATTTCGGCTTCGACCATGTACGTGCCGATGCCATGCAACTTGAATAAAGATTCTTTAAGGTAAACAATGCCTCGAAGTTCTTTGAAGAGTTTCATCTGTCGGAACCATGACATCTAGTCTGATGAAGAGCAGGACTAGAGGTGACATGATAGCAGTCTTCCAATATCTGATGTTTTGTGGTTTTTAATCTATTTGTGCATTGTCCAAATCACTTGGTGAGAAAGGCAGTTACATATATTTGATTAATAATAAATATGATTGCTTTTCAAGTTCTATTTTAATAGATGGTCATACTTTTTGAAAAAGCAGGGTTTGAATACAGCATTGATCTCCTTAACAGTAGCATTCTTCAATAAAGATTCCTTTCAGAATTAATATCGGAGTACAGTCTATGCACCACTGAAACTCTTCTGTTTGATAGTTGTAACCATTAATTGGGCAAATCGTGCATTATAGGGCATCAATTTTTGAATCAACATTCCTCAAACAGGTTGATTTAAAAAAATCCAGGGCCCATGTTTCAGTGTTGCTGTGCAGCCATACTACCATGGTCACATAATTATCTTTTCAACACTCCCTGCCAGTTTGTACAAGGAAAACCAAGGGGGAAGCCAACAGGAAGTTGGCAATTGTTCTGGTTCCCACTGCTCTTTTGCCTGCCTGAGGTCATTCTGTTTCTCTGTTTAGGTGAGGAAATGTCTCTGAAACGATGACCCAGCAGATGATAGGCTGTCTACTTTGTTTTAAAGGGAGTTTAGAATTCAATCCAGTCAATGAATTGTATTTTGAGTTTAACTAGAGCTTGCAATTTTAAATAAATAAGGGTAGGATATTAAACCGAAGGTTGAGAGATCAAATCATACTATAGTTCTCTTAGGTTCGTACATAGGGAGACACTGTCTTTTAAAGTGGTTGTTTTCTCCTTCCTCTTGAGTTTTAACGAGGTGAAAGTGCGTGTTTCAGAATTTATACAGATTCATTTGCAATAATCTGAACTAAGGTTTTACTGCAATTTGTAAAATGCTTGATATGTTCACATTTGTTTCAGAATGATAATCTGACAGATATATGATTCCTTGCAGAATTCTAATTATATTAATACCAAATATATTTGTTTTCTTCACTTTTTTTGAAGTAACGTATACGGGAGCACTTAGCATTTTAGTTATATAAACTATAATAGTTATAGAAAAGGATGGTGAAATAGGTAATCTCAGGTGTTTCTAGACATTTCAAACCCTCGCAATTAATATTTAGTAAATATTAATTTACTAAAATATTTACAAATGCCTTAACATTTAAAATTTTGGTGTGTTTATGGGGAGGGAGAGACTATTAATGCCTTACTAATTTCAGGAAGTTTTTAAAACGAGAGGATGGATTTCCAGGGGCCCATGAGTTTGGATGGGGAAAATATTACAGTGAGGGGTCCTTGATGCTCTCAGAGCTTGGTTGTTTTCTTGCAGACTTTTCATTACCCAAACTAGGGTAATGAAAACATCACTAGTGCTGATGATGTTATGTAGTTTGGATAATGAAATATCTGCAAGAAAACAACCAGGCTCTGAGAGCATCAAAGCCTCCTCATTTCAACCCTGAGCCACAAAAATTACAACTTTACTTTTCTTACCTCTAACTGAAATGTACTGTTTCCAGTAGAATAATTTATGGGCTTTAAATTCCAAAAGCCATTTGTTAATTTCAATAAACCTCACTGTCTATTAAAAAAATATTTGATTTTTTTAATTTTTTTTTTGATAACTACGGCAGTCCCAGTTGCAATAGTTACACAAGGCCCTTCTCCTGCCCTGACAAATTGCCTGTGCTTCAGCTCTCCCCACCTGCCCATCTATCCCCATCTCTGCCCTTTTGACCACCCTCACTCTACCACCTACCTCTGCTGTCCTCTGCCATCTACTTCCTCTCCTTACAATGCTTTTTATCCTGAGTTTTCTACTCTAGTGAGCCTAAGACTTACATTTATGTGTCCCGTGTCCTGTAATTGTGTGTGTTGCAGGCTTTGCATTACTTTATATTGCTCTTCTGCTTTTCCAATATTGCAGCAGTGAGTGGTAAAGGCAAAGCTCCACTGCGGAAAAGATGCAGTGCCAGTCGGGTGAAGCTTTTTCTGTCTGAGGAGAGCAGCTGTGAAAAGGGCTGTCAAGTCACCAGTGAGCAGATTAAAGCAGATATGAAAGCAGCCAGTGATGTGACCACAGAAAAAAATAAAAACAAAGATTGTAACCCAAGCTGTGGTGGGGACACTGGACCTTCAGGAAACTCATCCGCTGCTGCTTCTCAAAACCTGGAAGATGTCAGGAAAGCAGATAGCTCTAATGAGTCCCTTTCTGTAGCTGCAGAGGATTCTGGGAAATGTCTCTGTAGGAATGAAGATTCCAATGAGCGGGATGATGAAGATAATTCTTTATGCTCCAGGTGTTCCTGCTATGTGCCGCAGAGCCAGCAAAAGAGAACTAATGGAGGTTCTGATGATGAATCTCCATCTACCAGTGGAGCCTGTGGTACAAATGGGCCATCTGTGGGAGGAGCAGAACTTTCTCTGAGAACATTAACAAACAGTGATTCCTTAGGGGAAGCCAGCAATGAGAGGACTAATGAGGGTGTCGGTGGGATTGCTAATGAGGAGGGCAGTACTTTACAGCAAGCAAGGTTTGAAATGGAATACAATGAAGATTATCCTCGTAGACCTTTAACAAGAGCCAGAAGTAGGCTTTCCCATGTGCCTTTGGTGTCTCAGCCTGGTAAGATTACATTATGTAGATGTCTTGTATGAATTGTCTTGCTTTGTCACCCTAGCTCCAAAGGCGTGTAGAATACAAAAGCAATATATTAGCAGAAATGCCTTCTTAAAATTATTATCCCAATACTTGTATTAACAGACCTGCATATGAATAGGAATGGAAGAATGATAGCTGACATTTTTGTGTTGATTTCATATAGGAATCCTATTATAGTATTGCATTGTAGTTCTGTACTTCTTTTCATCAGTATATTTCTTTCAATGATATTCTCTAATCACTTTAATATGACTCCCACAGAACCTATACTGTATGTTCCCTAAGAATTTTAACAATATTGAATACCTTCCAAGCAAGGTGAACCAAGAAATAGTATCGGCACACAAAAGTGATATTGTTAACCATGTTCTACAGTCAGTTTTTCAATTTAAAATATATACTCAGGGAAATAAATACCCAGAGTAATTCTTGCATGTTTCATTGTTCTTACATACTTATGCATTTTTCAGATTAAGGGTACTGTATTTTAATTTTAATGACAGTAGGCATTCTGAATGCCTCAGTCATCGTTTATGTAGAATTCAAATGATTTCTACCACAGTGATTGTCATCCTCACACCGTTGCTTCATTGCAATTATACAAACAGTAAAACAACATTTATGCCACATTTCCTTGTATGCTTCAGTTATGCAGGTTCAAAATATGAATTGAACTAATCAAAAGGAAATATAAATCCTAATTCTGAACATCCTCTTAGATGTGTGTTTCTTCACTGTCAAGCTGTTCGTAAAATGCCATATTGATTTATTATTTGTATATGTATACATACATATTCATATGCACATATAATAGCTTTTCATCAGCATTTCCGGGGCATTCCATGTACAGTATAGTTAAATTTGTGAAATTTATAACATATACATATACATATATACATACATACATACATACATACATACATACATATATATATATATAACTTTTCCTGATTTCCTCAACAGACTAAATGACATAAAACTTCAGCCTATTACTTGTGTCATTTTAACATCTTTTATGGTTTTCAAACACTTTCAGGGATAGAGAGACTTTAAAGTAATTATGTCCAATGTTTAGGGATGCTGGAATTGTAGTTCAGTAATATTTAGAGAGTCATGTATTCCTTATCTTTGTTGTACTTAGATTATGCAACCTAGAAATTTAATAGTTTCTCTTAAGGCAGAATCACAGTTGATGATATCATCTATCAGACCTCGGCTGATCTTGAAAAAATTAAGCAGAGTCGTATCTGCTTAGTTTCTCCTCCAAGTATTATTATCTGGGATTTGGAGCTAGAATGAAATGTTGAAAAAGCATTCCAAAAGAACTACCATTTTTCCTCTAAAATAAGAACTGGTCTTATTTTTATTTTTATTTTTTTGCCTCCAAAAGAAGCACAGGTCTTATTTTGGGGAAATATCTTTTTCCACTCACCTCCAGCACTGACAGCCCCACCCAGCTGGCCCACTTCTTCTGTGGCCGAAGGAGCAGCTTCATTCAGCAGCTGAGAATGGAGCTCCGGCCTGCATTTTCCAGTCAGAGGTCTTTCCGGAAGGCCTGTGCAGCCAAGAACCAAGCTATGGATTCAATTGTAGCTCAGTTCTCAGCTGCACAGGCCTTCCAGAAAGGCTCTGACTGCAAAATGCAGGCCGGAGCTCCATTCTCAGCTGCAGAATGAAGCTGCTCCTTTGGCCACAGAAGAAGTGGGCTAGCGAGGCAAGTGTTGATCCATGGGAGGCCTGGCTGCAATGGTAAGTTCTACCCTCTCACCCCAGCTTGATTTTTAGATGTGCGTCTCATCCCCAAACTAGGGTTTATTTTTGGGGTAGGGCTTATATTAAGCCCACCCCCAAAAATCAAGCTAGGGTTTATTTTTGGGGAAGGTCTTGTTTTCAGGGAAACACGGTAGTTCTTAATATTTTTGTCACATTGACTGGCCACTGCCCACCATTCTGAAATTGATTTTGGAATCTTAATTCTGTCTAGCAATTTTTAAGAAAAACTTCAAGATACATCATTATTGTGAATATTTTACAACTGTCACAATTATATTTTATTTTATTTTATTATTTTTATTATTTTATTATTTTATTTTATTTTTTGCCTTATCAGAAGCAGCTAAACCAAAATCTCGACATTCAGTGAAGAGAAAACGGACAGCTGACAAGTCCACAAGCACCAGTGATCCTGTGATTGAGGATGACCACATCCAGGTGAGTACTTTGGATCAGAATTATGGACAATCAATCACATTCAAGATGACTGAAACTTATCTTTTGTAAAGATATTTTCTTGCTAAGTTGTTTGCATACAATTTACATTTCAATATCAGCCATAATAGCCAGTGTTTTCCAGTTAAGAACAGAGAGAAGAAAAAGATTTTCTAAGAAAAGAGAATTTCAGTGCTGCCCACATTTTCTCACCCAACATTAGGTGTCCTGACAATTAATAATTTGACTAGTTAATTGGTTTGGCATGATCCATGTAGTAATTTTTAACTCTATAAATAAATTCTCTAGGTTTTGACACTCAAATCAAAAAACCTTGTTGGAATCACATTGACTAACTGTGGCATAACAGACCTGGTGCTGAAAGACTGCCCTAAAATGATGTTCATTCATGGTATGTACATTTTGTTTGTTGAAGCTTGTGAAATGTTCATGAAAATTTGGTGGAACTAATGGAGTATTCTTCTTAACAAACTGAACCATAAATGTCTTTTAAATAAATAAAATAAATATGGTTTCTCACTTCTATAAACATGGTCTATTAGAGGAAATCAGATCAGTAATAAAATATAGAATCATAAAGTTAAAAGTGATGGTGTAGGTCAGGAGTAGGCAACCTTGGCTCTTTTATGACTTGTGGACTTCAACTCCCCAAATTCCTGAGCTAGCTTGGCTGACTCAGGAATTCTGGGAGTTAAAGTCCATGAGTCATAAAAGAGCAAAGGTTGCCTACCCCTGGTTTTTAGGTCATCAAATTCAGCCTCCTCAGTACAGGAGCCTAGGTTAATCCAGCTGCTTGAGTACGTCCCATGAAAGGGTTTTTTGCTGCTTCTCTGGTTATTTGGTTGCACCATTATGGACTAAATGCAGTTAAAATGTCACTCATTACCTCTATTCTTGGTTAAATAAATAAAGAGGCTTATGGCGTGTAAAGATTTAAAACATTCACACATTTGTCTTGTCCTCAATGACTTCCAAGCTGATGACTCCAAATTTTGCCTTTTCCAAACAACATCAGGCAACTTAAGCAAACAGTCCATGCTAAACTTTCATAAATCTGGCCACTTGAGATTAGTTTCTTCATTATGCCTCCCACAGCTGTAATATTAAATGACTAATTTTTTATGTATAATTATTTACTTGGTTGTTTTTCCCTTTTAGCCACCAGGTGTCGTGTTCTTAAGCACTTAAAAGTAGAGAATGCACCCATTGTCAATCGATTTGATTATGCTCAATGCAAGAAATTAAATATGGATCAGGTCCTAGATCAGATACTTCGAATGCCTCCAGAGAGAAACCGGATTATTTACCTTCGTCCAATGCAACAGGTATGTAGCTAGCTTTCACTTAAGCAAAAGAGTTTGTGTATTTTTCTGTACTCTTATTATCTTTTTTTTTAGCATGAAGACTACTAGCACAAGCTGGCTTTAATGGCATATTTTAATTGGATTTTTATTCACCTTGAAGTTTGTTGCACTGTTATATCACTACTTCCCAAACCTGAGTAAATTACCCAATGGGTACAAGTGGGTTTTTGGGGGGTAATGACACAGAAATCTATTGCTCATCACAACAGAGATATTTAAATTATGCCATGTTTACTAAAATAGATTAAAAAATCATCAAAAGCATTCTTATAATGGTGAAAATTAATGAAATTATCTGTTGTAGTTTATTGAAATAACATGGGGATGATGCAATGATATTTTTATAATACATGCAGTCCCCGTGTTGCAGTCATTAATTCAGTGACTGTTTGAACTTACAACTGCTGAAGGAAGGATCTTATGGCCAGTTCCTTGAAGTTCAATAAGACTTTTTGATAAATGGTCTTGGATAATGAAGGAAAAAGGTTTGGAAGCACTATGCTGCATTCTTCATATTCTTGGAATAAAACTGAGCATAAACGTCTATAAGCTCAGGAAAGTTTTCAGTGGTCCTATGTTCAAATAATAAATGAAGTGCAAGATAACAGTGTTGTTTGCGCATAGAAATTATTTTTCATCCTAATGCATATACATACAACATAAAATACACATAAGCTTCCTCCAGATTTTCCTCGGAGGGCATTACAATGAGATTAATGTCTTTATGATTTTTTTGTCTCAGGAAATTACTTCCTGTCAGTGTTGATGGAATAGTAAACCAGTTAGTAAAATACTAAATATGTTGAATGTTCTACATTTTCTATGTCCTCTAGCTAATGGGTTTTCTGGCTTTCAATCAATGTGATATTGACATGGCAACTCACAAAGTAGAAACCTACCCTATAAAAAGTTTACTACAAATTCTAAAAATGTTATTAGTTATGTTACTGATACAAAATATGAATCAGTAGTGAAAGACATGCAAAAATCAACTAACTAAAATATAGAGTATTGGAATACAGTGAATGTATTTAATTTACCAAATAACTATGAAAGAATGAAAGAAAAAAATTAAAAAACTAACTCTTTTTCTTTTAAAGCAATGACAAGTGATGTTAGAGATTTGTTTAAAAATGGCAAAGATTCATAGTCTTAAATTGTCTAGGCCTAATAAGACTGTCTGAAGAAATCTATTTTGCTATTTTCTGTTGTTTCAAGCATGTTGTCCCCATTTTTACAGGTTGACACACTAACTCTTGAGCAAAAAATATTTAGTGGTCCTTACCCATATCATATCTGTGTCATTCACGAATTCAGTAACCCTCCAAATGTTCGCAATAAAGTCCGGATTCGCAGCTGGATGGACACGATAGCAAATATCAATCAGTAAGTCAGCTAGTATTCTCTTATTGCCAAATGTTTGTGTTTCTGTTTGTGTGTGTACACGCATATGCACTTTTGTCCCATTCAATTGTGATTCAATTGAATGGGCCAGAAGACTTCCAGCTTTAAGATAATGGCATTGATTTTTCAAATAAAACAGTTGGCCTAATTTGGCTCAGGAAGGGGAAGCCAATATTAAGCCAATTAATATTAAAGTCAAACACCTTTTGAAAGATTCTGATTTTTGGAGTTTTAGAAGAATAGTAGTGGTAGTAGTAATTATTATTTAAACTTGTATAATGCTGCCCAACTTGCAATGAGCACCTTACAACAATCAAAGAAATTATAATCAAATCAATAAAGCATAAAAGTTAAATATAAAATGTGGCGTGCATGATGAAATGAGAGATCTCACACTTCCTTGCCAGAGGCCTAGGTGAAGAGCCAGTGCATACATACATACATGTATAGTTTGTATCTATTTGTGGATGAATAGATATATTAATAATTAGGCATCCTTCAACATTTATAATGATTTGTGTTTCCTTTCTTAGTGGCATGCTATAATTTTCTCAGACAGCAGACAGAATAGCCAATAGTCAGATTATGGGAATTGTCCAGAATATATGGCAATGTTGGTTTAACATGCCTAGGATATTCAGTAGTGCTGAGGCCATTTCATAGCTTCCTTTGGAGGAATCTTATTTTAATGATGTACCGTTGTCTTCAGATATAAGGTACATTACAATTGAATCCCACCTTTAAAATTGGATTTAAATATCATTTTACCTAATTCTTTCACTTTATATTTTACACATGGAGTAAGGTTAAATGACATTCTAGCACAGCTGTACTTCTTACATTATTGCCTGTAATAGTAGTCCATAAATTGATTCCCTTATATGTTCTGAAATTACTTTGGATCTAAATTGAAAGAGTAGATAAAATATATGAAACTTGAAGACCAACAACTGCCAGCAAATGTGGGAGGCTGGGAATCATAGGAGTTAGATACAGAGTGTCAGTTTGGGAACGGTCTGTTTATAATTTCAATCTCTTTGGTTGCTTTTGATAAATATCCCATTTATTTTTGTATGTTTTCTTCATTTGATCCTTCAGAGAGCTTATTAAATATGAATTCTTTCCTGAAGCCACACGAACGGAAGACGATCTAAAAAAATACACAAGATATCCATGGGGGAGAGACATTTACACTCTAGAAGGTAAGCATTATAAAGACCTTGAAAGCAGCTATATAAATTTCTTAAGAAAAGAATCTCAAATTGTAACCTGTATGATAGACAACAAAAAATAGCTCATTCTGACTTTAGAATTATTTTTTAAAAAATATAAATTACATTTAAAATCTACATTATATTTATATTTAAATATAAATTATATTTTAAAAATAATTTATTTTTCATGATGAAAATGTGAACATATCTGCAAGAAGAAAAAATTCAGTTGACATATGGATAATATGCATATGATACTGCAAATGTTTTGATATTCTTTGTTCACTACAGTTCAGCAAGGCAAAAATCACAGCACAGGAGAGGAGCAATTTCCTCCCAACGGCAGACTTCTCTGAGTTAAAAGTGACATGTGTACCACAACAACACATAATGTAAACGGCATAGAAAATATATGTAGGCCATGTTTCACCTACAAATGTGTGTTCAGGTACACAAAGGAGGTGCAACTAGTGTATCTCCTCATCCTATTGTGTAAATCTTGCAGATAACCAAATATCTGTATTATTTTTATGAATGCTGCTTCATCAAAAATGTAAGACAGTTGTAGGCAGGACAAGTTTATTTCAACTGAAAAAAATAAGTTCAGAAACTATTTTCTGGCTGTTGTATTGTAGGTATTGTGGATGGAGCTCCCTATTCAATGATAACTGATTTTCCATGGTTGAGGTCTCTGAGGACAGCTGATCCTAATGGCTATGCAAGATACGATTTTGAAGATGATGAAAAGAGTAAGCGAATATTTAGTGCCCTGTGTTTACCAGGGAATCTGAAGCATTGTACAGTAATGTAGTTTCATCTTAAACAAATGTAATATATTTACAGTGTTACGGGGAATGTCTTTACCTGTATATTTCTTACTGACATATTTATGTAATTGTTTTAAATACTTCCATACCAGTAACATGGTCACTTAGGCTATTGAGTCCCTCTATTTTGAAATCTAGATCAAAGCATCCATATCCACAGTAGATAATTGTCTAAACTTGGCTTGCCTACAGCCAGTGAAAGTTTCTCATCACTTATCTGGTAAATGGCTTCATGGTGAATTGCACCTAGGATGTTTTGCCTGCAGGAATTGTCTTTCTGTAATTTATATCCATTATTCTACAACCTGATTTCTGGAATGTTAGAGCAGTGGTTCTCAATCTGTGGGTCGGGACCCCATTTGGAGTCGAACGACCATTTCACGGGGGTCGCCAAACAACGCAGTCCGCCATTTTTTTCTCTTTTCCTTAGCTGTGCTACTCCCTTTTATTTTATTGGCTTTTGAAAGCCAATAGAATAGACTCTCTTGAATAGAGTCTAATTCTATTGGCTTTCAAAAGCCAATAGGAATTGTCCAGGCTGTCTCTGTCCTGCTGAGCCCGCCAAAAGTCCCATTCTGCAAACGGTGCTGCACCAGTTGAGTAGTCCTCGACTTACGACTGGTTGAGTAGTCCTCGACTTACGACCGGTTGGGGGGTCGCGGCATTAAAAAGGTTGAGGACCACTGTGTTAGAGGATATTTGCCCTTCATTAGCAATTCAGGCAAGCTCATTTGTGAAGCAATTGACAGGAGATGTGTCCATGTTGGAGAATGTCATACTTGCTTAGCTGTTCACTAGCTGACTTTAAAGCATCAGTTAAAGTAAATTTTGGAATAGCATTTCCAGTCTGCTGATATAGTTATGTGTCTTGCCCTGCTTGGCTGTTGGGGTATCAGTTGACCTTCCTAAAGAAGTCAAATCTGACTGCAGCAAACTATGGCTTTAGATGAATTTGGACAATGTAGGAGTGTCTAGTAGCTGGTGCAATGTGAAGGCCAGAATATGAAGATTGTTAGTTTGGGATAAAGAACATAGCTTAGATTTGTTTTCGAATTCCACATAATACCCTAGTTGTTGTTTTTTTAAAACATTCTATATCAGTTACAGTATTTCTAAGTTTTTTTTACCTGTAGCAATATGTCAGTTGTGGATTTTTTTCCCCATGGTTAATTGAGAAAGGAACTTAGAACACGGAAGTGTAGGAAGGCATTCTAGACTGTATTTGTATCTTTTCAAATTCTATAGAGTTATATATGAAAACATTTTATATGGCATACAGTGGGGCAGAAAAGTATTTAGTCAGCCACCAATTGTGCAAGTTCTCCCACTTAAAAAGATGAGAGAGGCCTGTAATTGTCATGATAGGTAGACATCAACTATGAGAGACAAAATGAGAAAACAAATCCAGACAATCACATTGTCTGATTTGGAAAGAATTTATTTGCAAATTATGGTGGAAAATAAGTATGTGGTCAATATCAAAAGTTCATCTCAATACTTTGTTGTATATCCTTTGTTGGCAATGACAGAGGTCAAACGTTTTCTGTAAGTCTTCACAAGGTTGGCACATACTGTTGCTGGTATGTGGCCCCATTCCTCCATGCAGATCTCCTCTAGATCAGTGATGTTTTGGGGCTGTCGCTGGGCAACACAGACTTTCAACTCCCTCCAAAGGTTTTCTATGAGATTGAGATCTGGAGACTGGCTAGGCCACTCCAAGATCTTGAAATGCTTCTTTGTTTCCCGGGCGGTGTGTTTGGGATCATTGTCATGCTGAAAGACCCAGCCACGTTTCATCTTCAATGCCCTTGCTGATGAAAGGAGGTTTGCACTCAAAATCTCACGATACATGGCCCCATTCATTCTTTCCTGTACACGGATCAGTCGTCCTGGTCCCTTTGCAGAGAAACAGCCCCAAGGCATGACGTTGCCACCCCCATGCTTCACAGTAGGTATGGTGTTCTTTGGATGCAACTCAGCATTCTCTCTCCTCCAAACATGACGAGTTGTGTTTCTACCAAACAGTTCTACTTTGGTTTCATCTGACCATATGACATTCTCCCAATCCTCTTCTGGATCATCCAAATGCTCTCTAGCAAACTTCAGATGGGCCTGGACATGTACTGGCTTAAGCAGGGGGACACGTCTGGCACTGCAGGATCTGAGTCCCTGGCGGCGTAGTGTGTTACTGATGGTTGCTTTTGTTACGTTGGTCCCAGCTCTCTGCAGGTCATTCACTAGGTCCCCCGGTGTGGTTCTGGGATTTTTGCTCACCGTTCTTGTGATCATGTTGACCCCATGGGGTGAGATCTTGCGTGGAGTCCCAGATCAAGGGAGATGATCAGTGGTCTTGTATGTCTTCCATTTTCTAATTATTGCTCCCACAATTGATTTCTTCACACCAAGGTGCTTGCCGATTACAGATTCAGCCTGATGCAGGTCTACAATTTTGTTTTTTTGGTCTTCACCATAGTGGAGTTTGGAGTGTGACTGTTTGAGGTTGTGGACAGGTGTCTTTTATACTGATAACAAGTTCAAACAGGTGCCATTAATACAGGTAATGAGTGGAGGACAGAGGAGCCTCTTAAAGAAGAAGTTACAGATCTGTGATAGCCAGAAATCTTGCTTGTTTGTAGGTGACCACATACTTATTTTCCACCATAATTTGCAAATAAATTCTTTCCAAATCAGACAATGTGATTGTCTGAAGTTGTTTTCTCATTTTGTCTCTCATAGTTGAGGTCTACCTATGATGACAATTGCAGGCCTCTCTCATCTTTTTAAGTGGGAGAACTTGCACAATTGGTGGCTGACTAAATACTTTTTTGCCCCACTGTATTGGCTTCAAATGTCATTGAAGCTGAACAAGAAAGGAAGGTCTAATCAAGCTAGGCTTTAAAAGAACATTTACATATATCATAATTGCACCAGTATCATGATGTTATTAATTTTCCAGTGGAATAGCCATTTTTCTGTGGTAAATTGTTAAATATGAATGTTTATGTCTGAGATAACATTTATTCTGGATTTGTTTTAAACTGTCTTTCCAGTGACAATTGCATTTGTTTTCATTCTCTTTTTCTTTGCATCTAAAATTAGCTACTATTTATGCTCCCCGGAGAAAAGGACAACTGTCGGCAGATATCTGCATGGAAACAATAGGTGAAGAGATCTCTGAACTCCGCCAGATGAAGAAAGGGGTATTCCAGAGGGTGGTTGCTATCTTCATCCATTACTGTGATGTTAATGGGGAGCCAGTAGAAGACGATTACATCTGAATGCATCCAGCTGCAAGCTCTCTCAGCCCTTCCTGTGTTTTGACTGGCATTGCCAGCACAGAAACCAGATGGATTTCACCCACTGCTGTAGTGCACTGAGAAGTCTGCGCATTTGTATGCTTCACAATTATTACCCCAACATCTATTGGAAGACTGTGTAGTAAATGTATCAGAAGTTGCAGTGAATGCTGAGGACCCTACATAAAAATCCTCATGAAGTTGACTTTATTTCATATGTTTATATTACGAGATTTAATTAAAATTTTATTTTAATGAAGGCAATTAATTACGGCAAGGCAAAAAAAATTGAATTTCTTAGCTCTTATAATTCATAGCAGTATTTTTGTTGGTTTGCCAGAAGCAAAAACCCTACATATGTTGTGTTCAGAAGCCACAGGAGTCTTTTAATCTGTGCCTTCCCCCCTCCCTCTTACACATCTAAGAGTCCATCCTGAGTAAATCTGTTGAACAGCCTTTGAGTCTTGTGCGTTTTTCAAGGGGAAGTGAAATGACCTAAACCAGTGACAAATGGCAGAAGAGGAAAAAGCAAGCAATTATCCCAAAAACCAAATTAAAACCAGTCTGAGTGTTCAAATGAAAGCACTAGTGGACTAGACGGTTCAAAGTAAATAAAAAGCAATAAACTAATAAATGAATTTCCTCTGTTGCAGTTTTCTTCTTCAGTACATATAACTTTTTGGAAAGTACAAGTACATTCTATTTTTTTAAAGTAGTCCACTAGTTATCTATGTGTGGCTGCTCAGTGTTACTTTTGCCTGAATTCTGTAATGCTACTTTTTACATCTGTTTGATTGGATTTACTCAAAACACATTTCATGAGTCCACTTGGAACGATAATTCTGCATAGCTTTTTCAACATCTTCTGACGGGGACTGACAAGTCTCAAAAAATACTATCTGTGTAATAGCTTGTGTACTTATAACTGGTATCATAGAAGTGAGCTAAACCAAATAATATTGCCAATAGTTATTGTCCTGTCAGAATACTTAATTCATCTGAAGTTTATAGTAATTTACTATATAATAAGTAGATTAACATTTTGTTCCTATTATGTTAATGATGTGACATTTATTTCTATTATAAGAACAGTCAAAAAAGAAGAATTGCATTTCAGTTCCATTGTTTATTTGCTGTGTTGTGAACAGGGTGTTGTGAACCCTGAAAATGACAACATATTCCTTTCTTCTCTGGATGGCCTTGAGATAGCTAAATTAGTTGCATAATTAGGCATTTCAAAAACAAGGTTACCAGTTCTCTCAAGTAATATATTGATACTAAACGTGACATAATCAAGGTTCAAATAAAACACCATTGCTTAATAGCAGTTAGATATGAATAGGTTTCCTGCTCAGCAAGTGGAAATGTATGGTGATTGGTGTCCAATCGTGTTTTTCTATTATGTATGTCTCTAGAGAGCTTATCTCTGCTTTTTCATGCTGGTCTGAAGCAATAATTATACTTTTTGCATTCATTAGTGACACTGAGAAGAGGAGTGTGTGAAAGGCAAGAATAAAAAGCATAATCAAGGATTTATGTTCTATATTAGTACAGAACTAAGCCCCGTGCTAAAGTTGGCTTCATTTTATTTGTATTTTTTTTAATTGTATAAACAATAGTAATTTGTATGTATATTTATCTGTGGTTGAGTTGTGTTTGATGTGAGTGTCAGTGTTTGCACAAGAGCATATACGTATACTGATGTTATCTGAATCCCTTCTATTTTGCTTTTTATAAGAGCAATTAAAAGAATTGAACGTTAACTTTTCAATGGTAACCTTTGAAAGACTGAAGTAACCATTTCAAATCATAAAATCAACTGTATTTCCTTTGCAAGTCTCTTGGACCTAAGTTCATGGTTGATATATTTACAATCTATTATTCCATTAGCAAGGCTTCATCCCTTTTGTTGATACATTGACTTTAGTAATAGAACAGAGGAAATGTCCTCAAACCCAGCCAACCACGGATGTTTTAATAATCATATTTATTTTTTAAAAGGGTAATTGTCACTTCTAAAGTCTTTTGCTTATCAGAACTCCTCAACCTTCAAATGTTCCTCAAAAGTTCTACTGACACACTTGTTACTGATTATTTCTTCCTCTTCATCTGTATTTGTTTAAAATAAATAAGGCCAGAAGTGAAAGCAAACAGAAACGTTTCAGGGTATAAAGAACTTCTGGGCACCCAATAAAAATGTAGAATATCTTAAAAGAACATGCAAAGTTTGTTATAACCACCTTATGAAATGAATGATTCTCTCAGTTGTCTAGTTCCAATTTAAGATACCAACACTCCCCCCAAAATTGCACCCATAGCAGAAAAATGGATACACATACAGGTGATAAAGTTGTCAGAGGGTCTGCAATTCCAGTCATGCTTGCATTTTGTGTCAAATATAATGTCAACCAAGGAAAGTAAGGCTGCTTGAAAAGCAGTTGCATCTTTTTCCTTAAGCCAGCTTTTACATTGTCAAAGATCCCGAGTTAATTTGGAAAAGATGGGAACATTTCTAAGAGCAAGTGATGTAGCACAATTTTATTTTAAATGCTCAACTGTTTACCAAGAAAGAGGTGAAGAATTATAAAAATATACAGAATCAGATAATGTGGCATTTAGAGCTCCAAATGTTTTTAAAATTGCATCTGTTAATGATTTTCAGGAAAAGAGATGTTAAACAACTTTTTTAGTTTATTACCAAAGCTGAAAGTTTTCATAGGTTGATAGTTGTTCCTTGCTTCTCTACACAATCTCTCCCAGTTAAAATGCTGCTTTGCCAGCTCTCAGGCAAGGAACCTGAAGGAACAGATGGAGCAGATACAATATTAGAAAGCAAATATTTGTATAATTCCATGTAACACCTGTAAGGAAATTTGTTAAGGCAGATGACACCCTACTTCAAATCATATCTCCCATTTAATAGACAGGAATAGGGAACAATTGACAAAGCAGTCACAGAAGACTATTAATACCCTCGAAGAACTTGGAGACTAGCCAACAAAATGTGTCAAGATGAACTTTGCAAATGAATTAGGACAAAAGATATATTTTTTTTAAAAAAATGAAACTAACTTATGAACCATTTTCATCAGTAAAGTAGAGGAAAGTCTTGAAGCAATATGAAGATCAACAGATCTTGATTTTCTGGAATACAGTTGGATATAGTGTAAAAGCAACATCTTTGGATTTTGAGATTATTAACTGATTTTGTTAAACTTTTTGAAAATGGTTTGCATCCCTCAACAATTACCAAGGGGGAAAAAAGATAACTAAGAAACATTAAGGATCCGACATAGCTGTATTTTGATTCTGCTATTATTGCTGGTGTTTTTAGTATTGACACTTTTATCTGAATACTGAAATTCTTTATATTTGCCTCAACAGAGATCACCCTTCACTTGATACTTCAATATTTTTTCAATTTTGTTTATTCAAGAAAATTAATGGGAGGATTAAATATGATCATTCTTAAGTCTGTAGAAGAGAATCTTAAGGCTTTTTCATTACAATAGTAAAAATTAATACAGACTAAAGTTAAAGAAAAGAAACTGAAAAGGAAAGAGAACATAGGAAAAAGAAAAGAAATATATAAAGATGTGACTTCCAATCTTCATCACAAGTATACCCCCTATAAGATTAAATAGATCTTCCTTCATCCCATATCCCATCTTTTATCTGTAAGCAAGTCCATAAAACATCCACTTCTCAATCCTGGAAATAGCTATAAAGAGTTGGAAAACCTTTAACCTTAATCAAATAAACCAACCTTATATTCCTACTTTTTTACTTCTAACAGTTTTAATCCTTAATTAAATTGAATACTGTTGTAGGATTTTATCTTGATTATTTTTCCCACTGCACAGATTTCTTCAAGGCTTTGGCTTTTTAATATAATTTTTAATTAAAAGTTTTAGAGTATAAAAACTCCCACCAACTAATAAAAAAGCAGAAAAAGAAAGAAAAAGGACAAAGTGCAAAAAAAAAAAGAATAAAAAGAAATAGAAACTTCTGATTACCTTTGCAACAAATATAGGTACGGTTACAAAGGTATCTCTTATTATGATTATTAAAAAAAAGTTAAGTCTTTTATATTATCCAGATTTTAGTTTTAATCATCAAAAGTACAATTCATAAATGCATTTTGTTCCATTTTATGCAAAAGGTCTATAAAGGGCTTCAATCAATCATAAATGTATATATTGTTTTTTCTCTAATCAAAGAAGTTAATTTAGCCACGTACACAAGTTACATCATCTTCACCAAAACAAGTCCTTTTGTAGGTCCAATAAGAAAACATTTTCCAGGCCACTATCATGGTTTATAATTTGTATTTTTCTTTTAATTTCCTCAGTTGGTTTCTTGTATATATCCAGCAAAGCATCCTTTTCAAAATCATCACAGCCGTGCCATTTGTGGTTCCACATTCTGTACTTTAGCTATCTTATCTGATAAAAAATTGTTCCATAGCCATCATTTACATGTAATGTAAAACTGACAGCTGGTCTTTGACCATAAATAAAATGTTTGTGTGTACTTGCCTTTGTATCATTTGCCCATATCACACTTTGCAAACGTTAGCAGCTTGATTTTTTTCGGAGGGAGGGAAATACATAAATTATGGTTTTCAACCCAAGATGAGGCTAATTTATTGGTAAGAAAGGGCTGGGGGAGATAGTGGTACAATGATACAGGAACCCCTCAATTTGCAACCACAATTGGGTTCAAAATTTTAGTCACGTATATGAAGTGACTCAATTTTACAATCAATTTAAAATGGGCATAAAGCAAGTCACTGTGGTTATTAAGCGAATCCAGCATATCAAACAACAGTGTTTTACAGGCCATAAAGTATCCTTTCTGAGGCTGTCATAAATTGAAATGTTGTTAACTAGTTATTAAGCGAGGACTTCTTGTAGTCATGATAGAGGTAGTCCTCAACCTACAACCACAATTGTGCCAAAAGTTTATGTTGCTAAGTGAGACATTTGTTAAATGAGTTTTGCCCCATTTTATGACTTTTTGCCACATTTATTAAGTGAATCACTGCAGTTGTTAAATTAGTAACACAGTTGTCAAGTGAATCTGGTTTCCCCATTGACTTTTTTCCATACCATTGTAACTTTGAACAGTCTCTAACTGAACTGTTGTAAGCTGAGGACTACCTGTGGTTTCCCAAACCTGAAACTAAGCTAAAACAAATATATAAGTAAGTTTTTTTAATATCATAATAATATATGCTAAACTTGTTTTCCTACCAGAGCACTAGCAGTAGAAAATTCTTGTGTCCCTGCAAATCTTATAATTTGGGAACAGGGAAATCTGATCTTAAGGATGGGGTAGCAAAGCAACTTAATGGTATGAATAAGCTAGTTTTGAGAAGAATTTTTATGAATTCTAACTTTTGTGTATCTTCTATGTTTCACATATTGTGTCCCAAAAAGTTTCTAGATGCTTCTTACTCATGGGTCTTCAAACTTGGCCCTTTTATAATTTGTGGAGTTCAACTCCCAGAATTCCTCAGCCAGGCATGCTGGCTGAGGAATTCTGAGAGCTGAAGTCCACAAGTCATAAAAGGGCCAGGTTTGAAAACCCCTGTTCTTACTCTTTAAGATTTGTGTGTGTGTGGCTGTATAAAAACTCCCTTTTTACATCTGTGTAATCCCTATTCAAGGTACAGTCGGGGCAACTGAATGGAGCTGAGTGTTTACTGACCAGATGCCCTTCCTGACACCTACATGGAGTTTCCAGCAGATTTTTTTTTCTTTGTGCCCTGGATGAGAAACATCTGCCACTACCCAAGACTGAACTCTCAATCTTCTGAGTGGGAGGTGAGCATCTTCACCATTAGTCCACCACACCACTCACTTGTCTATGTACAGCTGTATGATTCCCTGAAACTGCTTACAGATTTGTGATGCAATTTGTAGAGTTAATCCAAAGGTGCCTCTTATACAGGCATCTTTCAGAATTTTTAATTGGATGTAGAAGCAATAAAGTAAAGAATTAAGCCAGCCCAGGTCAGTGCAAAACTAGTATGTACAGTTTGCAATGGAATAGTCAGCAGGCAATATCCCCCCCCCCCAAAAAAAAACCCCAACCATGACTACTGACCAAGAATCTTAATTTAGTATCCATGGTAGACAATTTCCCTGTGGGCATCCTGTTTCTGGTTTAAGTAGTTTTAATTTAAGCTTATTAATACAATAATAATTAAAACATGCCACATTGATAAGGTTGCTTTGAAACCAGACTCTTGATAAGCTATACTGATTTAAACTGTCAGATATTAAGAGCTATTAATTGATACAGTTGTCATCAATTGTAAAATGAATTTCTGACTGTGAGTTCTATTTCCTGATAAAAGGGCAGAATATAAAATCAATATTGAAATAGACAATTTAGTGTATTATGGTATAAGATATTATGTTATTACCGGAAGATACTTTCTTGCTTGTAAATATTTGTTTATTAATGATATTTTCATTAGCTTTTTATATTTGCTGTAAGAACATAAATGTTAGCAGATATATGGTTACATTTTTAATAAATATAACTGATATTTATAACTGATGTTAAATATAACTAATATTGCTTCTACATCCAATTCACAATCTGCTCTGGATTTATTCCTTTCCCTCTTGTCCTTCACTTATTCCTAAATCTTGTAAATGAATTGACATATGCAAGAATCAATTATCAATTTTATATATGCATTTATATATGCATTAAGTCTTTATAGCTATGAAATCAAATATTGGAGATTTTCCTCAGAATAAATCTTCAGTACTACACATAGCTACTTTTGTAGTTAAGTAAGTCAAATAGTTTATACAGTATGAATTGAATCATAATCGGAAGGAGCTGCTTTGGTGACTGAGTTCTAATTCTAATTCTAATTCAAGAATTAAGATTAACTCCTAAATTACATCACTGTCTAGTTTCTGCTTCATCTGTTTCAAACCTTTTTCTAACATTTAGAAATTTAATTTTTTCTGACATCTGAATCTGCTTTCTGTAACTTACTATTCCATATCCTATTATGTAAGATGATGAAGGACAGATCTTAATCACGCCTTCTGTCTGATATCTGCAAATATTTAAAGTGCTATTGTACTCCCTGTTCAGTCTTCCCAAGGCTTGAATAGTTTCTGGAACTTGATTATTCTTTTTTTTTATTAAAAGTTTTTTTATTTTTTCCATTTATACATCATAAAAAATACAATTTTAGAATAAAATATATTCATAACCATTGGTACCGCCTACCCATTCCCCCCAGGCTGTGTCCACCCTTTCTTAAAACCTTCCCTACTTCCCTCCTCTTTCTCTTCTCCCTTCCTACTCTCTTCTTGTTACCATTCTATAAAACTTCCAATTTTGCCTGAATTCCTCTTAAAGAGTAGGTCCAGAGGTGGACATAATATTTGTGTGGAATCTGACCAATACAGAATAAAGTGGGGCAGTTAAATTCCATGATATAAAATCAATATTTTTGCAAATGGATCCTATTTTTGGGCTATGTGACACTGTTGGTTCGTACTCCTATTTACATCCATAAGATGTTGCTAAAACAATTTGATTAATTAATAATACATTATAATAATCTTTCATATATGTATGTTCTCCATTCTCTATCTATGCCCATGATATTTTCCCTAAATGATGAAATTTGCGTGTCTTTCTAATTTTAATTTGATTTTAATATCTTCAGATCATTTTTAACATCCCAGATAACTAAGAATTTTATCTCCTTAGCACAGGATATAAGGTAGCCCACCAAATTTATTGATCATGCCTTTTCCTATGTATCTAGTCAAGCTTTAATCATATCAAATTAAACCTTCTTCTTATTAAACCATGGCCCTTTATGCTGTCCTTGAAAACAATTTGTAAAATTGTCTAGGTTACACCTTATTAAGTATGAGAAAAAGACTGATTCAAGCTGGAGTCTTCTCCATCCTGATGTTAACGGTCTGAGATGGGCTACAGTCTCTTGATGTCATGCGACCAACCTAAACTTTATTTCAGGTATTCTTGTGTTCAGGATATTCCACATCTCATGGAAGCTTTTTTTTCCATTCTAAGTAATGAACTCTATAAATCGTTCCAATATTTTGAAATATTATCAATTACACAAGTTTATTATTAAAGTGATTAAAATCCTCTGTGGGTGCTTCAGACAGATAGATATTTCGTTCTTTGTTTTTCACGTATTAAATTCCCCCATCAAAGAACTAAGGAATCATGTCCAGAAACAGTTCAGCCACTAGATGGAGTTGTTTTACAGATCTAAAAGGTCTAAAAATAAAGTCTCTTACCTGCGCAACACAGTCCTGCTGATCTGTATAATATAAAATATTTGTTAACGTATTGTTTTATTACCTATCTGCTAACAATGACTGCTAAGGTGTTACTTATTTAAGTGATGCTTATTAGATTCTATGAAATACTCACCGGCAATTTTGGCGACTTATAAAAATAAAAAAATATTGTTGGAGCTTACATGCTATTCATTTAGCAGTTGTCTATCATTGGAGCCAACTTCGTAAAACATTACAGTGAAAACTTGTGTGAATAGATCATTTGGGGTGAAAGCAGAAGTATAACATCATGGAAATTTATGCTATTTGAATGAAGGCACCATTATACAATTGATGCAAATTACATCATTTCCTGCCATTAATGCCATTTACATAATAAAGACAAAAATGACACAATGCCTTAAAATTAAGATAAATTATCATACATTTCAATGCCTCATGTGGACTTCTTCCCATTCAATGACTTGTCCATTATTTCAAGGGATGTCCAGATGGAAATTTGAAATTCATTGCAGCCAATGAACTGCAATGGGGTTCTGTTAAATCAAGGTTTCATTGTATTGCAGTCAGATAATTGTGTGTGTGTGTGTGTGTGTGTGTGTGTGTTTCTAAAAATATTTATGTATCCACTGTCATGGTCTGCTCTTTTATGTTTGCTTATAAGAGGTGTTTGCCAAAACATTTAGATATTTTGTGATGTATTACCTCAACAATAATCTCAGATTCTTCTATTCTCTATAATCCATTTATCAGATATCAGTTCTTTTCTTCCTGAACTCTTTCACTGCCATACCATGAAGAAATTGGAATGAGAAGATAATGAAACAGGCTCAGCTCAGGGAAATCAGCTCCTTCAGTAAGCAGCACTCATCTCAGAAATCCTCTTCCCTCTAGACATCTCAGTGCAGAAAATTGTCAGATTCTCAATGTTTTCCTAAGATATTAAGAGTACCCTAATCTTTCAAATTTTACTAAGCAGTGTATGACTAAAAGGATATGGAGCCCCAGAAAATGCAATCTGCAATGGCAGCTTTTCCTCAATTGGGGCCCCTCAAGATGAGGACTGAATAAGGGAGGAATTGAAGAACAGGTTACCCTGATAAGAAATGGTTTAGATGCAGCAGAATTTAAGAGAAAGAATCATAAGAAGAGAAGTCCTGATGAAGGAAGTGCAGTTGAGACTTCAAAAGACATAACAAGTAATAGACGTAGGAA